ATTTCGTATTTTGTGGAAGGAAAGTGTCACTGCATACAGTTCCCCTGTTATCTTTGTAAAGCTGCTTTGAAACAAAAGAGCGCTATAGAAATGAAGGTGACTTGACTAATGATGTTCTCAGTATGTTAGCACAAAAACATTTATCGTTCATGGAATGATTTATCTTGAATGTTCAGAGAACATATTCTAAACTGTTTCTAATTAATTTAAAATGTTCAGAGAATGTTTAAAAGTAACATTCACACAATGTTTGCAAATGATGAAATGGAATGTTACCTTAACGTTCCATTAAAGAAAAAAAACGTTTTTTTTTTAAACATTCCAACAATTGATGTTTTAAACATTCAGATAACATTCAGAAATAATGTTTTCAGAACTTAATGTTAGCAAAATATTTTTGTTATCAGTCATGAATGTCAGGGTTTTATAATGTTGTTAAATTAATGTTTATTACATTATTTTAATGTTGGTGTTTTGTATGTGTGTGTACCTTCTATGGTATTTCCATACTTACTTTGATTCATCATGTGGCTTTTCTCTTTCCCAGCAGTGTTTTATGGTGGATGTCAAAAACACGAGCATACCTTGTTAATTCATCAGAAAAGGCTGTTGGATTTACTGCTTTAGAATGTAATTTCCCCCCAATAAATTACTGTTTTAAATCCCTTTATACATTTTTACAGAATCATTCACAGTTTCATTTTGTAAAAACGATGGATTTCTTTTACCAGTGTACTGAATGATTAACATTTTCATGTTATTTACTAAGGTACTTCCCCAAAAACCTTTTTATTTACATAACACAGACTTATAAAAAGAGAAAAATAAGCCACAATATTGATCGAATATTAAAAATAAAATACATTTATATTGATATTTTGGGCCTGGGCTTTGCTCTGTACAAACAAACAAACAAATAAAAGTCACCAACAAAATCACAATCACACACGCACAGCAGCTCACACAGAAATTCTTAGGTCGTGCCCTTATTGTGTTGCATGGCTTTGGTTTCATCCTGACAAGTGGTAATTGATTCCGCTAGCCTGCGCCGGCGGTAAGTGGGGGTGTGCGCTCGAGTTTCACTGAAAACAAATCGCTCTTTTCTGCGGCCTGACCTTCCCTTCCCTCCTCTCAGCCTCACACTCGTCTTTATCTCCTCTCTGCTCACACTCTCATCCTCTTCATCAGGTGCTAAAATCAGAGTGTGTGCTTCTTCCTAAAGTCTATATGGAAAAATATTGTCCATTTTTCTTTCTTAATCAATGTGATATTTTCATATACACTATAGCGTTCAAAGGTTTGGGGTCGGAAAGATTTGTTAAAGTCTCTTCTGCTCACCAAGGCTGCATTTATGTGATCAGAAAATACTGTAAAACAGTAATATTGTGAAATATTATTACAATTTTAGATAGCTGTTTTCTATGTGAATAAATATAGCAAAGTGTAATTTATATCCTGTGATCAAAACTGAATTTTCAGCATCATTACTCCAGTCTTCAGTGTCACATGATCCTTCAGAAATCACTCTAATATGATGATCTGATGATGAAGAAACATTATTATCAATGTTTAATTGAACTTTATGTGTCTGTTGAAACTGTGATATTTTTTTATGATTCTTTGATATATAGAAAGTTCAAAAGAACAGCATTTATTTAAAAAATAAATGTAACTTTTGGTCAATTTATCCGTAAACCAAGACAAATGTGGGCAAAATAGTTTTGATTTATTTAAAAAAAAAAATACTTGCCTTGATTTGAGCAGTACAAGACTTGGCTACTTTTCCTAAGTTTCACTCCTGAACACACACAATTGTTTTTTACTCAATTCTATAATGTTAAGTGGGTGAAAAAAAAACTCCTTAATCTTGTATTTGGGTCAAAAATGGGCACCCATAGAAATGAATGGGGAAAACTGTAATTTAGAGCATTTTAAAATAAGCCAAAATAAGACACCAGGTGACAGCAAAGTCACTTTATCTTTAGGTTTTAGCTCTAAGAACTTATTGGAATTATTTTAATGTAGTCAAAAAAATAAAACATAAAAATAAGCATAATTTACATAGAAAATATGGTACTTTTTGAACTATATAAATTCAAAAATATCCCCAAAATAAAAAAAACACCATAAATGGATAGACAAAACTTTATCGAAGACAGTGATATAACATTGATAATAAAAATTAGGATCACACCTGAGTCCTCTGTGTCCACAATTACAGGATTGAGGGCTACGGTTTGAGGGCTACTAAATCCTTGCTGAATCACAAAGAATCATTTGTTTAACAAACAAACAAACTTTTGATTAGAAATGAAAAAGGTTAAAGGTCAAATTTACAATATTTTAAAATTACGACTTAAAGACATAAATGTAATCCATAGAATGTACATTTTAAAATGGACTAAAAAGTCAACTAATGACATGCACAGAATTACAATAATGCAGCACTGTATGAATGGACAAGTGTTTTCAGTTTAGAATATGTTTAAATACTTCAAGAAAAACATCAATGTATGATTACGATTAAACAGATCATCTTATTTCTAGCACTGAAATTGTCATCAGATACAGAACATGCTAAAGGAAATCCAACACTGACCTCTAGTGAAAAACTTCAGCAAGAGAGGAGGTTAAAACCAAACCTAGTGAGCTGACGGGAAAAAAAGGTCAATTTAAAGGCCATCTGAAAAACAAATGTAAAAAAAATTGCTATAATACAATAAAACATTGTAAAACGTGAATTCTGTTGCTCTCGGCAAGGAACATGAATGCTGCAAAAACAGCGCAGTCTCACCCCAAAAAGTCATATAACTGACGTTTTGGGACGTCTTTTGACCATACGTCAATATTCGCCTTTTTAGGGCCCCCTTAAACGTCGGTAGATGAGGTTATGGGATCCTAACTCTACCCCAGCCCTAAACCTAACCCGTCACCTAACTGACGTTAAAGGTAAAGCGTCAGTTGTATGACGGCCCGGGATCGCCATCTAGCGACGTTTAAGGGGGCCCTAAAAAGGCGAATATTGACGTATGGTCAAAAGACGTCCGAAAACGTCAGTTATATGACTTTTTGGGATGAGAATGTGTTGGCAAAAATGCTGGTTCTTGATCTGACAGGCTCTTGGGTTTTGTTCTGGTTTTGACTACAAACAAATAAGAAAAGGCGACTTTCTTGTCAAGTTTTGAAGCGGGCTCTCATCACAGAAGTGCTGACTGTATTCAGGCCCTGAAGGGTAATGAATTACTGGATGCTCTCAGGTTAGCTTCTCTCTTCCCAGCAACTGAGTCCCGTTGATCTGTTCTGAGCGCATTCCCGTCCCGCTCTCCTGACATCATCACGGCTCAAAGCAAACAGAAACAGACACTTCCTGTGTCATTAACTTTCTACAGCAGGAACACGTTCATTTTCTCACACAAAACTTGCCAGAAGTTCAGGAGCGAGCAAACGTTACAGATTTGATTTGCATCCTAATTTACTTTATTACACTGTTAAAAAATATTGTTAAATAAGTAACCTGGTTGCCTTAAAATTTTAAGTTCATTGAACTGGAAAAAGTGAGTTAATACAATGAAGGAGAAAAATTTAATCATCAGAAACTCAAAATTATATGTTATCTGAACTAAATAAATTATTTAAGTTGATTTGACAAAAGAAAAAAATGTTGTGATTACTACACTGTAAAAAAAAAATCGTTGGTTTAACTTTAAAAAGTAAGTAACCTGATTGCCTTAAAATTTTAAGTTGATTGAACTGGAAAAAGTAAATTTATAGAATGAAGGAGATTAATTTAATCATCAGAAACCCAAAATAATAAGTTATCTCAACAAAATAAATTATTATAAAGTTGATTTGACAAAATAAACTTAAAAATTACACACAAAAAAATGGAAAATATGTTGTGATAACAAATCTTAAAAATATTTTTTTTTACAGTAAGATGGCACTATTGCTCATATTCTAGATTGATTTCTCAAATCATGCGTACCATAAAATAGGCATAAATGTAAAAAAAATGAATTATGGACTAGAGGCCATCATTTAATTTATTTGAAGGTACACTCTTTTCACTTGGGCCAGTATAAGAAACCACCCAGAACACCTAGCAACTGCCTAGCAACAACCTAGAAACTATTCAGAACAACCTATAAACATTTTAAATGTAATTTAAAATTACATTTCACTTATACTGCAGTATTTTTATTGTTAAATAAAACTAATTGAAGTTAATTGAAATAAACCGAAAATATTACATGAATCCTAGATGAATAATACTTAAATGAACATTAGAAATGTGGCAACTGATGTTCAAGCTACAGTAATAAAATAACTAAAACTGAAATAAAATTAATTAAAGCTGTATATTCATTTTTTAAACTAATTTAGCACCCAACAAAGTCACTAAAACGTTAAATAAAATGTAAAATTAATTTGAAAATATGAATAAATACTATAATAATATACACAAATAGGTGCAACGATTTCAAAAATCATGGACAAGGTAAATTATACTGTAATTAAAATTATTTGTATAAATGTAACAGATCTAAACTAATACAGATAAGCTATTTATAAATATTCATGATTGACATAATGAGTCAAAACGCTCCTTAGTTATAAAACGCTTCAATATTTAATAAAAAAAACACACCATGTAATTTGTTTAATGTCTAGTTTATAATTAGTTTAAATGCACCAATGCATCACAGTCATCAAACGCACTTCAGCTCATGCTAATTTCTTCTCATATGCATGAAGGCTATTTGCATTGGCACACACATCAAACGTCGTCCTGATTGGGGATGGCCCTTTTGACCCTGATGAGGAGTGGATAAAGTCATCGGGTGCGCTGCTGTGTAAGCAGTGATAAGGCACTTCTTAATGTGTTTGCACAGGGGCCGGAGTAACGAGGGCCTCTGACGCAGAAAGGCCCACTGCCTGCCGCCACCTGCACAATGGAGACCCCGACACCAAACACAACCCCAAATGTCACACCGCGCCTGGAGGGAGGAGCGGCCTGATTGGTCGGTGTCGGTGTGGGTGTCTGGATTTAAAAGCCGGTGGACGTGAGGTGACGGTAGAGAAAACACTTGACAAGCCTTCTCATCTTAGAGGCGCATCCGTGTAAAAGAGTGTGGCAGGTGTATGAATCCACCCAAAGACAAAGACTGCATCGGTTTAGATTCGTTTGGTAGCTGGACGTCTCACCTTCAGGTCATTGAGATGTTTAAGACGGACATGTTGAACGTATTGACCACAGTCGCTCTGCTGACTGTCGCTTCGGTCCTGGATGCTGCTCCGATGACGCCTGGAGAACCCACTGATGGAGGTAAGACGGGTCAAAACCAGCTCCCCCAATGCACACATTTGATTAGTTCATGACAGCACATGTCACTCTAAAGCAGCTTTCGGAAAGTCACGAGGGTAATGTTTATAATATCTTGATCCATTCATGCTTATATTGGTGCATTCAGCAGGGAAATGAACTCTTGACCTTGGCATTACGCTGTCTATTTGAGCTTCAGGAACGCTGATTTATATCTTTGTGGTCCCAACTTTGCAAACACTCACAAATGCAAAAGTCTTAACGAGTTATAAATCTTTCGAGAATCAACTTTGTTTGTCTCAGATGCATTTCTCTTCGGAGGAATAAAAACAGAAGCAATGGAATTAATAGTTGTCATATCAGTCAATGTGGATCTACAGAAGCGTATTGCATTCACTTGAGGAAACAAAATACACTCTGTTTTTCTGAATTAACGAGTTAATTATCTCAGAATTACGAGATCATTTTTCATGGAAAAAAAACGTTTTTTGCTCTGTTTTTCTGAATTAACGAGTTAATTATCTCAGAATTACCAAATAATTTTTCATGGAAAAAAAACGTTTTTTGCTCTGTTTTTCTGAATTAATGGGTTAATTATCTCAGAATTATGAGATCATATTTTAGGGGGAAAAAAATTTTCTCTGTTTTTCTAAATTAACGAGTTAATTATCTCAGAATTATGAGATCATATTTTATGGAAAAAATGTTTTGCTCTGTTTTTCTGAATTAACGAGTTAATTATCTCAGAATTACGAGATCATTTTTCATGAAAAAAAACCTTTTTGCTCTGTTTTTCTGAATGAATGAGTGAATTATCTCAGAATTACGAGATCATATTTTATGGAAAAACGTTTTTGCTCTGTTTTTCTGAATTAATGAGTTAATTATCTCAGAACTACGAGATCATTTTTCATGGAAAAAAAAACATTTTTGCTCTGTTTTCCTGAATTAACGAGTTAATTATCTCAGAATTATTAGATATTTTTCATGGAAAAAAAAACCGTTTTTTGCTCTGTTTTTCTGAATTAACAAGTTAATTATCTCAGAATTACGAGATAATTTTTCATGGAAAAAAAAACGTTTTTGCTCTGTTTTCCTGAATTAACGAGTTAATTATCTCAGAATTACGAGATAATTTTTCATGGAATTTTTTTTTGCTCTGTTTTTCTGAATTAACAAGTTAATTATCTCAGAATTATGAGATATATTTTTCTTGATTTTTTTTCTCTCTGTTTTTATGGACTATACTCATATTGTTTTAGATAATCAAGTCATTAATTCAGAAAAACAGAGCAAAAACTTTTTTCCATGAAAAATTATTTCGTAATTCTGAGATAATTAACTCGTTAATTCAGAAAAACAGAGTTGATTTTGTTTCTTCAAGTGAAAGCAATATACGCTTCTGTAGATATTGGCTCAGAATATTTGATAATATTTGATCATTTTGGTCACCAAAATGAAAATTAAATCCAATGTTTAGGTTTCTGTTCTGGGCATTTATGCAAATTAGTGCACATTTAATTGGATAATTCTTTATTGCATATTTAATATTTAAGAAAGGGTATAATACACACCAGTTGTGAAACGTATGCTGATATCTAAGCCTGTTGTGTGTGTCTTCTTGATGTCTATGGTGTGGTCGTCAAGTGTACAGACTCAGAAAATGGGTCCAGTGGCGCCGGCTCTTGTGCTCTCTATTGGTCTTGTGCTGTCCGCACGTCCAGTGTGTGCAAACCTTAAATCTGTCGTCCCACATTCAGGTTCTGGACTCGTCCTCCTGCTAAAATTGGCTCAGGAGTTTCGAGTAGGGTTATGTAAAGCTTGAATAGGTCATTAGGTCCCGGCGGATCACATTTAGGTTAATGTTCTTACAGAATCCGTTGACCTGGATCGTCACCGTGCAACAATAAATCTCAAAGTTATTAAATGTGCATGCATACTGTAAATCACTAAGTGAATGTATGCACTGATGAGTCATGCAAATTTATTACCACATGCACAACAGTGGTCACAATCACCTTGGATTAAAGGGATAATACCACTCTTATTTTATCTAGAGCTCCTCGAAGTGTTTTTAATGGAGTGATGGCAAGTTCAGAGTTTACAAATGTCCAAAATACGCACCTACGACGTCACCGAACCGGTCGTCCAAGCAACTCTCCGACTTCCCCAAGACTTCGGTCAACATGGATGCAGGCAGCGAGCGGCTCCACATGTGTTTACATGAGTGTGAACGAGCCATTTGTCAGCGTCCACCTATAAGATCAGAATGATGATGAAGGACGGGTTCGAACGTTCCTCGGACAAGACGCATTTATCATCCGTTATGTCGTTTGTCCAAGCCAAGAAAAGGCCCTTTAAGGGATGTTTGATGTTGGGAATGTCTCTCTTTTCAAGGTTCTCAGGGTGTTTCAGTGCATTGGCATTTCCCATTGACTTGTTTCTATGGGTGTGGGAACACTTCTGTGTCAACAGGACTTATGAGACAAACCCTTTCAGAGAACAGAAGGATGCATCATTCTGGTACCAACCATAAACTGGGATTTTAGAGGCGTGCAAACACATTTGTGTAGCTGAAACTAATTAAGTTGCATTGAGCAATAATTTCCCAATTCTTATTTTTTTATGGAATATTGCAGTATTTATTATTAATCCGTGCACAATATTATTATTTTTAACTCATCTGCACTCATAATATTTAAAGGGATAGTTCACTTTGAAATTAATTTTTGGTATGTTTTAGCTTCCCTCAAGGCCATCCAAGATAAGTGTCTTTGTTTCCACAGTATTTTCAGTTTTGATATTTTTAGGTCAAACCGTTCTTGTCTGTCAGTCATATAATGGAGGTCTATGGTCACCACCTCAAAGAGCATGCACAGAGAAGTCCAGATTAAACATGATTTAATGACTCGTAAATGTAAGTACACATTGATGGCCTAAGACACGAAACGAGCACGAATCACTTGGACGTGGCTGTGGTTACAAGAGATTAAAATGATATAAATACTGTTTGTTTTTCTCATACAAACCACTCGTTTCGTGTCTTAGGCCATCAATGTGTACTTACATTTACGAGTCATTAAAACATGTTTAATCTGGACTTCTCTGTGCATGCTCTTTGAGGTGGTGACCATAGACCTCCATTATATGACTGATAGACATGAACGGTTTGACCTAAAAATATCAAAACTGAAACTACTGTGGAAACAAAGACACCTACATCTTGAATGCCCTTGCACTCTAAAAAATGCTGGGTTGTTTCAACCCAAATTTGGGTCAAATATGGACAAACCCAAATGTTGGGTTAAAAATGCAATTAAAAAAATTTACAGTTGAAAGTGAAAGTTGAAGTTGGGTTAAAATTTGAAATTACATTTTCAACCCAACATTTGGGTTTGTCCAAATTTGACCCAAATTTGGGTCAAAACAACCCAGCATTGTTTAGAGTGTGAGGTAAACTAAAACTCTTTTCTTTTCTGATGACGAGGGCGGAGCAACCTGTCACTCACATGAGATCCACCAATAGCAAACCACCAATCAATTCCCCATGGACCAAATCAAGCCCCGCCCACATTTGTTCTTGTTTGTGAAGCCGTTTCACTCGGATAGGCCGATACATCACAATACACTCTTAAAAATAACGGCTTTCCATGAAGAAACTTTAACAGAACCTTCCATTATAATGGAAAACGCTTTTTTTTATAATAGAAATGTTCTTGGTATGCATGAAGAAAAGTGTAGGGAAGTAAAGACTGTTTTTATTTCCCTCCAGATCCAAGGAGAACCGGCGTGGATGAAATAAATCCGGCTCGAGTGAAGCTACTGAGGACCCGACCAATGACGACATTTCCCGATGGAGATGGAAAGACTGTAGCAATGAGAGCATTAGACGAAATAATCACAGCGACGAGTGGCCCAAACGCCAGAGACAAAATCTTAGACACAGGTCTCAATGATCTGTTTAAGACCCTAACACTGCTCTCTGATGGACACGAGGAGATTCAGCCGAGTGATGCATCTCCGAGGACAGACCGCACAACCAGTCCTCCCGATCCCCAGAGGAGAACGGAGAAGATCAGACTGTCCAGGCTGTCAGCGGTGACTGGTTCACACAAACAATCCCAGTCTGATCCGGATGCTCGAGAGGAGCTGGTGAAGATGCTGAGTGCACTCGAGGAGCTGCACAAGTTAGTGAACAGCACACTGAGCCATCGAATCACCATCATAACCAGAGGTGTGCTGCTGGATTTCTATTCCTTTATTCAACAAGTATGCATTAAATTGATTGACAAAATATTCTATTCGAAATGAATGCTGCTCTTTTGAACTTTCTGTTGATCAAAGAATCCTACCAATATGTTTTATGGTTTCCACAAAAATATTAAGCTGTTTTCAACATGTTTCTTGAGCATCAAATCATCATCACATGATTTCTGAAGGATCATGTGACACTGAAGACTGTAGTAATGATGCTGAAAATTCAGCTTTTCTCACAGGAATAAAGTAAAATTATTCTTTATAAAAAATACGGTAAACTACTGACAGCTGTGGTTGCCAGAATCATACCGTAAAAATATGGTGTGTTACTGTTTTTAAAATTAACAGCTAAATACCGTTTTGTCAGCTATGCAGTTAAATTAGTTATGTAATGTAGCTGACAAAACAGTATTTAGCTGTTAATTTTGCTGTGGTTGCCAGCATCATACCGTAAAAATATGGCTTTAACTGTTTTTAAAATTAATAGCTCAATACCGTTTTGTCTGCTATAGTATGTGCTGTTAAATTAGTTATATACAGCAGCTGACAAAACGGTATTTAGCTGTTAATTTAGCTGTGGTTGCCAGAATCATACCGTAAAAATATGGCGTGTTACTGTTTTTAAAATTAACAGCTAAATACTGTTTTGTCAGCTACAGTATATGCTGTTAAATTAGTTATATACTGTAGCTAACAAAACGGCATTCAGCTGTTAATTCTAAAAACAGTAACACACCATATTTTACGGTATGATTCTGACAACCACAGCTGTCCGTATTTTACTGTTTTTTTACAGTTTTTAAAATTAACAGCTTTATACCGTTTCGTCAGCTACAGTATATAGCTAATTTAAGTGCATATACTATAGCAGACAAAACAGTATTTAGCTGTTAATTTAAAAAAGTAACATGCCATTTTTTATGGTATGATGCTTGCAACCACAGCTAAATTAACAGCTAAATACTGTTTTGTCAGCTACATTATATAACTAATTTAACTGCATAGCTGACAAAACGGTATTTAGCATAATATTATTATTTTTTTTATTAATATTAAAAACAGTAACACACCATATTTTACGGTATGATGCTGATAACCACAGATGACAGTAGTTTACCATGTTTTTTACAGGATTATTTTTTACAGTGTATATATTTACATAAGAAACATTTTTTTAATACATATACATTTCACAATATTCACAATTTTACTGTATTTTAAATCAAAAAAATTTAGCCTTGGTTAGCAGAAGAGACTTTTCACAAAAACCTTTTAAAAAATCGTAACTTTTGTAAAAACAAACAAACAAACTATTTATATATATATATACAGTATATATATATATATATATATATATATATATATATATATATATATATATAATCTTGGCCTTTTCCCCCTTCTTTTAATAAAATAGGAAATAGCAATGGGCGAGGAACCGGGAAAAAGAACAAAATGGTACGTTCAGTTCCTAAAACAATCTCGCGCATATACACTAAAGTTCAATTTGAGCTTTATGATGCAAATAATATTTTCTAACCAGCAGGTAGTGACAGATGGGAACCTGAAAGCCACCACAGCGACCACTATAGACAGCGGTGGGAGCTTTTCACCCAAGGCTAGCACTGACCACACGGATCCCAAACTCAACGGAAAAGCCTTTAAAAAGTCTCTTCCATCGGCTAAGAAAACCAACAAAAGAGGTATGATGCTGACCAGCTGGTTTGGATCACAAAATGTCATGTTATACCCATACGTTAACTACTATTTATCTTTCTCTGAACACAGTGTGCTTCTGGAAGTACTGCTCTCAGAACTGAGCTTCAGCAACCTTTGAAATGCCAAGCAACAAATCCTGTTCTCAAACATAGATGCTTAAACTCTTCTCAATGGACCACCAATAACATGACTGACCCCTCTGACCCCTGTGACGTGTGTACCCTTGATTTTGTGCACGAAACCCTGTTAACCTTCGGTCTACAACATCTTCTTTGTTTGTTGCAAGCTCCAATAAAAAAGACAAAGCATGCAAAAATACTGTGATAATAAAGAGAACTTTATTTTTCTACAGATATCTCTCTCGGTGATCATTGCAAAATGACAAATCAGACAGTGGACGTGTGATGGGTGCTTTGTTGAGACTGGCCTCACTGTGTTAGAGTGTGCACAATTACGTTGCTGGCAATTGAAGTCCATTCATTGTGTGGAGCAAAATCCTGAAATGTTTTCCTCAAAAAACTTAATTTCTTTTCCACTGAATAAAGAAAGGCATGAATATTTTGGATGGCATTGGGGAGAGTAAATTATCAGGAAATTTTCATTTTGAGGTGAACTAATCCTTTAATTGATCTGATTGCTAGCGCTGTTGCTTGGGTGACCCTACAAAAGACACGAGAACGAGTCGAAGTTCACGATGAAACTTGGAGACCACCAGCTTCATTGAGTCCTTTCTGTTTTGTCTGATCAGTGCGAAATTAAAACCCATGAAGACTTGATGAATTCTGATTCGTTTAATATGAGGCGTCATAAGGCGTTCATGCAAGGTTACAAAGTTGCATAAATAGAATGTTTTAACAAATTCTATGCATTGATGAAAACAATCAAATATAAATGAAGCAGTTTCGGCATAAGCGTGGAAAGACAAAACAATTACCTAGAAATGTAATTCATTTAAAAAACAAACAAACATCAACCTGTGTAATAAAGCCTAGTGTGATGATATAAAAGGGGAGTTTCATGATATTGTAAATAATGAACACGATTTTCCATAATTATTATTATTTTAGATATAAAATGTAAATATAAAATGTATGTGTACATATACTGGCCTGACCAGAAGAATCACAAGCAAAAATTAAGAAATAAACAACAAAAATATCGAGATCCATAGCTTAAAAATGATTATGAGATCAATTTTGGCCAAGGCCATGGTGAACATTATGAATATATCATATCTAGTCTATCTATATCATTTGGGGGGAAAAATGCTCTTACAAATGTTGGGTTGTTTCAACCCAAATTTGGGTCAATTTTTTTATAAATTATATTTTTTAACCCAACGTTTGGGTTAGTCCATATTTGACCCAAAATTGGGTTAAATCAACCCAGCATTTTTTTGAGACAGATAAGATAGATATGAAGTTATGTTAAGTGCTAATAGACAGAATATTTTATCTCTGTGTCTGGTATTATACTATTTTTCTGGTCCTGCCAATGATTTAAGGAGAACTGATGCCTTTCTACCGATTTCGGATCAATACACCGCAGTATTAATGCAGCTCCACCAGTGAGTGCATTCACACACACACACACACACACACACACGCACGCACAAGCATATGACATTGCTCACAAGAGAACTACGAGTTAGCACTAGTTGTCTGGTCATCCTGAACTATTTGATCTTTTTGGCGACGTCCAGGTAAGCGAACTGGATCTCGCGGTCCGCAGGGCAGGTGTTCATGAACTCTTCTCTCTGATAGGCGTTATTCAAATATCGCAAAACTCCAGTCATCTCAGCAGGAATCTCAAAACCTCTGTATTTCCTAGCAACAATCTACAACAAGAGTGTGCAGGTGATTAAACTGATCAGTCATATGAAATCCAGCATATGCATTTTAAATTACTGAGTAAAAAGAAGAATTGGGCCAATTCACTTGGGCCAGTATAAGAAACCACCCAGAACACCTAGCAACTGCCTAGCAACAACCTAACTATTCAGAACAACCTATAAACACCCATCCAAAACATAGTGAGTCAATAAATGTATGTATATATATATATATATATATATATATTGTTGGTTTAACTTAAAAAAGTAAGTAACCTGGTTGCCTTAAAATTTTAAGTTCATTGAACTGGAAAAAGTGAGTTAATACAATTAAGGAGAATGATTTAATCATCAGAAACTCAAAATTATATGTTATCTGAACTAAATAAATTATTTAAGTTGATTTGACAAAAGAAAAAATGTTGTGATTACTACACTGTAAAAAAAATATTGTTGGTTTAACTTAAAAAAGTAAGTAACCTGGGTTGCTTAAAATTTTGTTTGAATTGGAAAAAGTGAGTTAATACAATAAAGGAGATTAATTTAATCATCAGAAACTCAAAATAATAAGTTTTCTCAACTAATAAAGTTGATTTGATCTAGTCATGATTTGTGCAACCAAACACTAAAGTCATTTCAAGCGTTTGAGATTTTTGGTTAACTTTAGTATACTTTTAGAGAAAATTTCTTTAGTACACTTTAGAATACAGTTCCTTCGTTAATGAATAACTACACAAGAACAAATAAGTAACACAATATTAACAATCTAACTATTATTAACTAACAAGAACGAACTAATAGCACACAGATGAAAGTGGTACTTCACTATTAACTAATCAATATTATTTTTTAATACTTCCCACAAAAACTGTAATAAAGCACTCTAAATATTTCAAATGTATGCATTTATGCAGCCTACATTTTTCAATTCAACTTTTCACTGCGATTAAAATGAAGATTTAAATGAGATTGATTAGATGTTTTGAGTGTGAAGGAAAGGAAAGACGCACCTTCATGATGTGTAGTTTGGGGAGCAGGTTGCAGTCGGCCAGCGTGAGGTCTGGCCCGTCCAGGAATCCCCGTGTGGACACTTCATGATCATCTACACTGTTGGCATCAATCTCCTCGGGCAGCGGCGTCTGCAAATACTCATCCAACCTCTTCAGGGACTTCAGAAGAGCTTTCTCCAGACCTGAACACATAAAACCCCAAATAAAACACAATTACAGAGGAAAAGGAGGGCTATCTGTTTACCAAAAGCCATTAAACTCACCCTCATTAGCTTCTTTACGAGGGTTCTTGATGTAGGCAGAAAACTTGGCAAATACATCTATTCCCGCTGTGTTGGATTCTGGATGCTTTGCTGCCAACTTTGGGTATCTACAAAAAAAAAAAAAAAAAAAAAAAAAGATTCGTTTTAAAGGGTTAGTTCACCCAAAAATGAAAATTACGTCATTAATGGCTCGCCCTCATTTCGTCCCAAGCCCATCAGACCTTACATCACTGAACGTGGATCCACAGCAGAACCGGAAGACAATACAACGCTGAATAAAGTCGTAGTTTTTTGTTTTTTTTAACCAAAATGTATTTTCGATGCTTCAAACCATTGTAACTAACCCACTGATATCACATTGATGATGTCTTTATACCGTAACGTTACACACATGTTCAATGGAGGGACAGAAAGCTCTTGGACTAAATCTAAAATATCTTAAACTGTGTTCTGATGAACGGAGGTCTGAGGGCGACATGAGGGAGAGTCATCATTAATGACATCATAATATCATTTTTGGGTGAACTAACCCTTGAAGTAGCCTATCTGAGGCAAGTAAGAAAGAAATGGGAAGTGAACCGATATAGAAAGTACCGTGGCGGGACCAATCGTTCCTCGAGAAACTCCTCGATCTTGTTGACGTCCACCAGAACCTCTCCGTTGAAGGTCATGAACGGAGGGTTGGTTCCCGGAGCGAGATCCTGTAAATCTGCAGGCTTCCTGTGAGACGCGGATCGACAAACCCACCCTTCGTCAGCAAGGTTATTCTTAAGGAAATCTAAAACTATTAAACATTGTTAATTGAATAAAAATAAAATAAGTGCCTAACCCTAACTTGCAATCAGAACCTGCACTCTAAAAATTGCTGGGTTGTTTTAACCCAACTTTGGGTCAAATATTGACAAACCCAGCCATTGGGTTAAATTTTTAAATTACATTTTGAACCCAACATTTGGGTTTGTCCATATTTGACCCAAAGTTGGGTTAAAACAACCCAGCCTTTTTAGAGTGCATGTGAAATAAAAAAATTGAGATACTAAAATCACTAAAAACCAAATGAAAATAAATTAAAGCTAAATGGAAATGTAAAATAATAATAATAAAAATGACAAAAGCACATAACAAAATTACTCAAACTTAACCCTTAAATAATTACTAAAACTTAACTAAAACTATATAGACCTGTTGCAATTTTGGGTTTGTTTGATCTCGGTGCTTGTGTGAATGTGCAAAAGTTTAAAAGTTTTGAATGTTGCCATGTTTTTACCATGCTTCTACTTCTTTAAAAAAAAAAGAAATGTTAAATGAACAATGCAAGATTTTTTTAACAATATTTATGATAATTTTTATTATAATATGGACATTTAATATATAAGAATTAAATTGTTTTTCTCAAGTTACTTCTATAAAATAATACAACTCATAGATGTAAAATATAAAAAAACTGAATAATTTCATGCATTCACTTATCTGAAGTTTTTTATTAATAAAAAAAATCTAGGGAAAAATGACACATATCTAAAGTTTCATTTTCACACTAAAAACCTTGGATTTATATACAGTATATATATATATATATATATATATTTAATTTTCATCTACCTCTTCCTGGTCAAACGGACCCAAATGTGATTCTAAAATGAATATTAAAAATTAAAATATAAAATATAAAATAAAAGCCAATTAAAAATGTTCATAAATACAATAATTGTGTGTGTGTGTATATATATATAACACTAAAATAACACTCTCTTTATCGAAAATCTTAGATTTTAATGGAACTTCTAAACATTATTTGGAAGCAAACGGATATTAATGGAATTAAATAAGATCCCATGTATAGACAATTTCTATATGATTTAGTTAAATCAGAAAAATATCTTACAGAAGCCTAAAATCACGAAAGAAAAATAGTCGCATTTTATCCTGTTGGCAATCAAAATGGTGAAATCAGTGTGTGTGAATGTTGTGCTTCACCTCTTGAGGTCCACAGTGGTGACGTTGAAGATGACTCCTTTCAGCCAGAGGATCATGAAGAGTCTCTGAGAGAACGGACAGTTCCCGAGACTCTCTCCATCACTGCCGGCCTGGGACACACACAACATGCATCAGTACTTTAACTACATCACAAGTGTGGAGTAGCAATGAGTTTAAACTGACTTTGAGATTTTAGACCTCTTGATAAGACCCTTATTCATCGTCTGGAATCGTTTAAAGCCCTTTGAACAGTTTGCACTGAAACTGTCTTTTGGACCTTGAACCGTTTGGTTCCCATTGAAGTCCATTATATGGAGAAAATGCTGGAATGTTTTCATCAAAAACCTTAATTTCTTTTCCACTGAAGAAAGAAATACATGGACATCTTGGATGACACGGGGGAGAGTAAATTATCAGCAAAAGTTGTTTTTTTTAAAAGTGAACTACTCTTGTGGAAGAGCTGCTTAATGAGCCTTGATTGAGTATCTCTGTAAAACCAATAATGTTGATACCGTATTAAAGTTCTGGCAACCACACCTGATTTTTCTAAATATATATATATATATGCTAACACATTATTTTGATGCTCCTCAACAGATTTTCTACTGTTTTTCTACTGTCAACATGCCAACTTATTCTACAAACCCAAACCCTAACCTAACAATCTAGTACTAATGAGAGTAAGTTGGCATGTAGTTGTAAGTTAAAGTTAGTAGAACGTCCAAAAGTGCAAATATTGAAATAAAGTATAACTGATTTCACAAATAGTTCAGACAAATATGTGATTGGCCTAATAAATGTTTCTTTTTGCCTGGGAAAATGCTTTAATACAAGCAAAGCTCTAATTGATAGCACACAAAAAAGGCCAGTTGAATAAACCTTAAAATTCAACTGCACAAAAACGATGTATATTGTGTCATCATCTTACAAGAAAAATTTATTTTTTATTTCTTCAAAGGTTTAATGTGAGAACGTCTTACCTTGACAAACAGCTCAATGCTAGGAAATCCCAATTTTTTAGCTGCTACATCAAACCAAGCCATGGTGAAATGCTTTCACATGTCTCATAATATGAATGCAGAATGCTTTTTCAAAGCAAATTCTCTGAATGCATGGAAAAGTCTTTCCAGAATGATGACTGATTACATTTGGTGTTCTGTGGGTGTTTGGGCTGGAGAACACGGTCAAACACGCAGGGACACTGAGACACTGAGACATTTGTTCATTGTTATCAGCGATAGAGAAGCTGTTCATGAGACGTGCGTCATGAAAGACTTTTGCAGAGTTGGGAATCGCTATTATGATTTCCAGTGTACAATCTAACATTGCACAACGATCTACAAATAAACTACATTTCCATGTTGCATGTGTTCTTAAGGGCCTTAGGGATCGAGTTACTACTGTCACTGTATTTATGAGTCTGGAGGTTGTGGAATGATTATGTGAGGTCGGGCCGATTATCGAGAGATGGATGAGGACATGAGAGTAAAACAGACCCATATTACACCAGTAGAGGGCAGTGAAGCTTCTAGACATTCGAAAACATGACTTCATAAGATACATTTGAATAGAAGCACACCAGTATTCAATTATTATAATTTATGTCACATTTTGTGGGTAAACAGCTGTCTAGCAACCATCTAGTATACCAAAGGAACTGCATAGCAGTTAACATGTTAAACACCATTAGCAACCGCATAGCAACATGCTAAAAAACATCCTAGCAACCATTAATAACACCCTAGCAACCGTATAGCAAATTATCCAGAGCACCATGGAAAACAATCCAGAATACCCTAGCAACCCCAGAGCAACATCCTAAACACAATCCAGAATACCCTAGCAACCCCATAGCAACGTTCTATTGCTAAACACAACTCAGAACACCCCAGCAACATTCTAATAACCATCCAGAACACCCTAGCAACCACAAAGCAAAATGCAAAAACCCGATCAGAGAACCCATGCAATTATTCAAAACCCCCTAGCAACAATCCAGAATACCCTAGCAACCCCATAGCAATGCTAATGCTAAAAACACTCAGAAGACCCTAGCAACAGTCTAAAAACAATTCAGAATAAACCAACAACCAAATAGCAAAATGCTAAAAAACAGAGAACCCCGGCAATTATCCAGAACACCCTAGCAACAATCCGCAACACCATAGCAATGTGCCAAACATCACTCAACAATTCTAAAAATTCAGAACACTATAGCAATTGCACAGCAAAATGTTAAAACCAGTAAGAGAATCATAGCAATTATACAGAACACCATAGCAACAATCCAGAATACCCTAGCAACCCCATAGCAATGTGCTAATGCTAAACACCACTCATAACACCCTAACAATTGCATAGCTAAATGCTAAAAAACAGAGAACCCTGGCAATTATCCAGAATACCCCATAGCAAAGTCCTAAATCAGAACACCCTAGCAACCATTAGGAACATCCTGGCAACCACATGCATGGTGAGTTTTGCACATGCAGGAATCATATTATGACTGGGCGGAGCCACTCCACCCCCCAAACACTCCGAACCTCAGATCCTTCTCACAGCCGACTCAGACCAACAAACATCTAAATCAGATTACTAGAGGAATGCTGTGAGATTAACCCACTACACTTCAGCTTCTCATAGAGGCAACAGGTATTCAAATACAAACACCAAAAACCAATACAAAATAAAAATCAGCTGTTTATCATTGAATGACAGGCACAGTAACAGAGCATATCATCACTTCGATCCTGTTTACCACAGCAAAACTACGACAACATAAAAACTGATGATGAGACACAAAATGATACTTTTGTGATGTGAAATGTACAGAAAGGCTGTGGGAGTTGCACTTTTTACTGTGTTCCACTGCAACTTGCACAAAGGGCGTCTTTGTTACTGTTCGCTCTGCAAAAACATACGGGTGGATTTAAGGACATTTTTACCAGGCTTAACGTCCCGCTGCTCAGCCTCCTTCATATAACAAGAATTTGGCTGTGCGCTTTGTTCAGGCAATTCCATGATTAGAAAAATTAAATAAATAAATAAAATAAAAACTATTACTGTAGTTTTGCTTGGTTACAAAACTGGCAATACGCGTTGATCCGAAAAATAGGATCTATAAGTCCACAGAAAAATAGAATAGAATAGAATAGAACGCAATAGAATACAATACAAAATTAACAAAATACTATTGGTGTAGTTTTGATTGTTTAGAAAACACTGTACACATCTATGTTGCACTATAGTCAACACAGTAGATTAGTAGTAAGATTATTGCAAAATTGATACCTATCCTAATGTTTCTGATATGATACTTTATATGGCACTTTCTATTGAAATCTCGTGTACACTTTTAGCTCGCCGATCAATCAGCTCAACACCCTGCTGAGAATAACTCAATTAACTAAGTGCATTATATCACCAGCAACAACCATTTATAAAACACAAACAGGGTTGGAATTATGGTTGGAAAGGTCAGGCTCCACCTACTTCTTGAACTTCAAGTCTTAATATATTACGTCCGTTTTATCGTACATGGATGTTTATGGAAGTAACATTGCCTAGAACTGTGAATTGCATTCTGGTTTTCTAGAAACGGGATGACAGCAGACCAACTGACCAGTAAAGCAAAGACACTAATGCAATTAGTGCTGGCGATAGTAACACCATCTGCTGAGCAGAAGGACATGCTGTCATTGTAGGAAACTGTGCATGGCTAACAAGACAGCCTTATCATTACCATTTTTAAAATAAGACTTCATTTCTCTCAGCAATTCTACAAAATCTCCTTTTTGACAGGTTATATGCATGTAAAATTCTGCCTTCCCTGTAAAATGTACTACAATAATCATAGCTATTAACGTTTCTGATAGTTTCCGTATTGCATATTGACTACAGCAGATCATAATATGGTCAAAACTACAACGTTATTGAGCAGAACCTGTGGATATCAAACCCATGTGACTCATTTCCCTTCTAAAACTCCAATGCAAATGGCAATCTCTATTCTAATCTGTCTATAAGAATACCTTCACATAAAGGGAGATCTGCTGGTCAAGAGGATCGCCATCCCGCTGAGCTGGAGTCGCCATCCTGGTCAGTTTTCCCAATGTTTTAACCTCTTCTTGTTGAACTACAGCAGGTTGGATCCCAGGGAAGCCATTCGCCATGGTGACCTCTTGACCTTTGGCCTTGATATTCACCTCCCCTTCGCTGCCAATGCTCATGGTTCTGATCTGACTGCCGAGGGGCTTCGATGGATCTTGGAAAGAGGCATCTGAACTCTCGTTGGACTTCAACCAGGCAGGCATGGCCACTTTTCGCCCCCCCTGGGCTTTCCTTCTTGGCTCATCTTCAATGACAGCCTTAAGCTCTTCTAGCCACTTCCCCGCCCCCTCTTCTATTGTTCTTGGCACTTCTTCCTTGACTCGTCTTCGCTGTTCCTTTGCAGCGTCACCTCCTTCTGCAACCTCCCATTTGTCATTGCTGAGCTGTTCTTGATTCTTACACGCCCCCTCTTCTATTGTTGTTGGTTCTTCTTCCTTGATTTGTCTTCGCTGTTCCTTTGCAGTGTCACCTCCCTTTATGACCTCCAGTTTCTCATTGTTGAGCTGTTCTTGCTTCTTACATGCCCCCTCTTCTATAGGTATTGGCTCTTCTTCGTTGACTTGTCTTGGCTGTTCCTTCTCGTTACATGCCCCCTCTTCTATAGGTATTGGCTCTTCTTCGTTGACTTGTCTTGGCTGTTCCTTCTCGTTACATGCCCCCTCTTCTATAGGTATTGGCTCTTCTTCGTTGACTTGTCTTGGCTGTTCCTTCTCGTTACATGCCCCCTCTTCTACAGGTATTGGCACTTCTTCGTTGACTTGTCTTGGCTGTTCCTTCTCGTTACATATTGGTAATTCTTCGTCGACTTGTCTTGGCTGTTCCTTCTCGTTACATGCCCCCTCTTCTATAGGTATTGGCTCTTCTTCGTTGACTTGTCTTGGCTGTTCCTTCTCGTTACATGCCCCCTCTTCTATAGGTATTGGCACTTCTTCGTTGACTTGTCTTGGCTGTTCCTTCTCGTTACATATTGGTAATTCTTCGTCGACTTGTCTTGGCTGTTCCTTCTCGTTACATGCCCCCTCTTCTACAGGTATTGGCACTTCTTCGTTGACTTGTCTTGGCTGTTCCTTCTCGTTACATATTGGTAATTCTTCGTCGACTTGTCTTGGCTGTTCCTTCTCGTTACATGCCCCCTCTTCTATAGGTATTGGCTCTTCTTCGTTGACTTGTCTTGGCTGTTCCTTCTCGTTACATGCCCCCTCTTCTACAGGTATTGGCACTTCTTCGTTGACTTGTCTTGGCTGTTCCTTCTCGTTACATATTGGTAATTCTTCGTCGACTTGTCTTGGCTGTTCCTTCTCGTTACATGCCCCCTCTTCTATAGGTATTGGCTCTTCTTCGTTGACTTGTCTTGGCTGTTCCTTCTCGTTACATGCCCCCTCTTCTATAGGTATTGGCACTTCTTCGTTGACTTGTCTTGGCTGTTCCTTCTCGTTACATATTGGTAATTCTTCGTCGACTTGTCTTGGCTGTTCCTTCTCGTTACATGCCCCCTCTTCTATAGGTATTGGCTCTTCTTCGTTGACTCGTCTTGGCTGTTCCTTCTCGTTACATATTGGTAATTCTTCGTCGACTTGTCTTGGCTGTTCCTTCTCGTTACATGCCCCCTCTTCTATAGGTATTGGCTCTTCTTCGTTGACTTGTCTTGGCTGTTCCTTCTCGTTACATGCCCCCTCTTCTACAGGTATTGGCACTTCTTCGTTGACTTGTCTTGGCTGTTCCTTCTCGTTACATGCCCCCTCTTCTACAGGTATTGCTAATTCTTCGTCGACTTGTCTTGGCTGTTCCTTCTCGTTACATGCCCCCTCTTCTATAGGTATTGGCACTTCTTCGTTGACTTGTCTTGGCTGTTCCTTCTCGTTACATATTGGTAATTCTTCGTCGACTTGACTTGGCTGTTCCTTCTCGTTACATGCCCCCTCTTCTACAGGTATTGGCACTTCTTCGTTGACTTGTCTTGGCTGTTCCTTACACGCCCCCTCTTCTAAAATTTCAGGTGCTTTATGTGGCTGTTCTACCTCTGTACAGCTTCCCTCCTCTGCAGAAAGCTCCTCCTTCTTGGTAATCTCTACACCTTTTTGAATAATTTCTATGCCCTCTACCTCTTTATCCATTTCTTTATCTCCTCTTGTCTCCTCAGGTCCATTGGCAATGGCTGATTGGGTATCCGCCACTATTCTCTCACAGTTCTCTGGATCGGTGTCTCCCATCACTTGTTGCAGCCTCTCTAATCGTTCACGTTGTTGCACGATGCTTTCCGCCAAGGGATTTGAATTCTGGACCGTCTCCTCTACGGTCCCACCAAACAGATCAGTTTGAGATAGTTGTTCTTTTGCAATACAGTCAATCGCCATTTCTTCTGCTGCTTTGTTAATGGTGGATGTTTCTTGATTATTATTTGTGTGCATTGGCGCCCCGGTCATAGGCTTTTCTTCGCCAGTGTTTTCAAATGTCGCTGGTTCTTCCTCTTCCCCAAGACTCTGAAAGTTTTCTTTTGAATCTGCTTCACTGGTAGAAACCATCCGTGGCTCTTCATCCACATCTTTTTGTACACCCTCTTCATGCAAAACTATTTCATTTTTTACTTGCTGCATTTGATCATCTCTGTACTTTATTTCTATTTTCTCGAGGAGGCAACACGTGAGCTGTCTTACCTCAGAGAGGAGGAGCTCCTGTGTCTCCATCTTCCTTGCGCTCAAAGTCTGCGCTTGTTGTTCATCGCTTTCCTTTTCATCTTCGTACAGCGTTTCCAGCATTTTCGAAACTTGTGTTTGTGCTGTAATTGAGAGTTCAGCTGGTAGCTCAGGTCTTGTTATGTCCACTTCGTCCTCCATCTTTCCATATTTTACCTCTTCATTTTGCAGAATCGCACTCTCTTGGTGCTCAAGGTCTTCCATTAAATCCTCTTGCTCTGTTTTATGGATGATCACATCTGTTGAGGGCATTACGTTGTCTTCTCCACCATCGTCCATATCCTCATCCACCTCTTCACCTAATTCAACCTCATCTTCCTCCTCCTCTTCCTCCCCAGTCCGCCGATCTTCCATCTCCATGCATGATCCTACAGGACAGTGGATAACAGCTCCGTTAGAAATCTCCATGTTGATACTCATATCACTTTTGGCCTGGGCCATAATTCAAAAGCAAGACGAGTGTTTAGAGTTTGCTATGACTATAGCTAACACACTAAAGCTCTTGTGTCTACCTCTCCAGGCTACGTTCTGTAGAGGTAACTAGGAATTTCTCTCTCTCCCCCCTTTCCTCTCCAGGATTATGGTAAATTTCAGATTCTGATCCCCACATGACTTGCCTGCCCTCTCAAATCCGCTCCAATGGGAGCCTGGTCAGCTCAAGATGATCGGTTTAAGGGTAGGGCACATATTTAAAATTAATTGGAATTCCCAATCCTGTTTGTTTGTCGTAATGAAGTACAATTAAAATGTACTGAAATATATTTAAAAATATATCAGCAAATTTATCGAATCTTAAAACTTTATAAAAGCATCATTATTTTAAAAACTGTACTTGCATGTAATATATTAAAAAAAAATAATAAATTAAAATAAAAGGCCATTTAATTGTCCTTAAATGACAAAGTGCACTTTCTAATAGTCAAAATTAAAAGTTTTTGTAACACTTTATTTCACAGTGTCGTTGTTACATATGTTTCATGTACCAGTAATTTATGCACAATTACATGTAACTAACCCTCAACCAAATCCTAACCTTATAGTACGGTAAGTACATTAATATTATTCAGTACTTAAATATATAATTACACTTTAACATTAAATGTGTAACCAAAGTTTTACTTTAAGTCCACAAGTCCATTTTAAATCATTATGTTTTAATAATCATCTGTCATGCTTTAACCTTAAACTTTTTATATTGTCATTTAATTGCAAATAACATGCAATAAAGTGTCCAAAATAAATTCTATGACTTCTGCATAGTGTATTCTTTCCACGGCTGCACAACAGAATCCGAAATTCGATGTAGTTTGTGCTTGTATATTCGTTTAAAGTATGCCATTAATATAAAAATAGTATGCTATAGTGGATGGATGGATAGAATCTCTCCATATATTCATTTTATAGATTAACAAACACTTTGCATTGCATTGCAGAAATGCACATTGAATTTCTGTTAAAACGTGTAAAAAAGACAGGGGAAATATTATAATTTAGCTAAAAATAGCAGGGTGTCACAGTGATTTGGGTGAAGTGAAGTTCACATAGGTCCACAGGTGTAGTTATGAACATGTTCCACTATTACTAACCACAAAATAAAACCAGTCACACACCACTGACTGTATTCATTTCCTGCTCATTTTAATCTGAAATAAATATGTTCGTTGTTTTGCATGTAAAGTGTGCTTTTGCAGTCTTAAATATCTTTGTATTTTGCAATGACATTCTGACATTTTAGCGTAATTTGAGTATCAGAATACTCTATTGTAAGTAGTGTGCAACGCATTCAACAAAATCTGACCAAAAGAGGGCACTCAAACACCATTTTACAGTGATAATCTTTGTCATCATAATCACATTTAAAATGCACGCACTGCACACATTACACAAACCTAACAGTGTCTTCAGTATCTCTCGTGTTCCTGGTTACATTTTGAACAATCTAGTTCATTTTCACAAATAACACTTGCATCAACCCCAATGCTCCATGCACAGCGCTCGTGCGTAAGCGGAAACCATGACGTCATATCAGCTGTTTTGGCCCCCAGTGCAGTCTGTCGCAAGTGTAGACGTCATTTTCGGTTCAGGAATACATCACGGTTATGGTAGTAGCACTATGCATGCACTAGCACTGCATGTACAGTAGTGTGTGTGTGTCAATTTGACGGTTTGCGCTGCTTTGGAGACCGGAAAGTTGAACGCGGAGCATGGCGCCATGAGCTGAGCGCGGGCACGTTTGAGATCAGAGGCACCGCGTTTGAGATCAAAGGCAGCGAACATGCAGCAGTCCGAGAGCGGTGGAGGGGCGGCGACTTCTGAAGTCCAGCTCAACGAACAACCCAACGCGCTCATCGCGTGCAAAGTGTGCGAAGAGCTTTTTAGCGAGCAGCATTTAAAGGTAGGCGTGCACGCGCTTAGCTTTTACCCCGATTAATAATACCCGGTTTAACGCAATGGGACCTGATGTCGCGGAAGTGAAAACCATGCATTGTTGCTCCTAAAATGATTCAGAATGTATTTACTGAAGTGTGACAACATTGCGCTAAAAAAATACTACGGTACTACATTTCATTGTGGATATGTACCGTGGTTTACCATGGCACTGCCATGTTGTTGTTGTTGTTGTTTTTTGGACATTGTATCATGACAGTATAATGAGCACCATAGTAATGGTGATTTACCTTGGGAATTGCATGTATTTGATAAAATGCACCAAAAAGTAGGCCTAACCTGTTCTTTTGGACATTGCACTACACGACCATAGTATTTTTTTGGACATATTACCTCAATATTTATTTGATTGCATTGCACAGATGCAATCTGCATTCATTTAAATGAGTCCATGTCCTGCAGAAAAGCTTCAGGTCTGATTTTGGGCCTTGACTTACCTTTAAGAGAAATGTCCTGGTCATAAATGTAAATCCTTGGTTTGCTCCGTCACACATCTTCTACATCTACTAGCCATTGTGCCATTATAAACCACTCTGAATTAATTTTGATTTATAATAGCCTGGTTATAATAAGTGGTGTTCTGTACATAACAAAGCAGTGATTCAAACTAGATTTTTACGTTTTCTTTTGAAAACCTGCCAAAAACTCCTTACCATCATGCTTGGCTGCGTTTTGAGGGGTTGCTAATCCAATGCCAATCTGGTGTTTTTAAATGGTTGCTATGCGGTTGCTGGGGTGTTTTGTTTGGTTGCTTATTTTTTGGCCCAAATCATAAGAGCCCATCCCAAGTAGCAATGGGAGAAACAATGCTTTTCAAAACTTTGAATCAACTTTGAAGCACAAGAAACGCCAAGGATATGATTTGCAAAGCAAAATCTTTCGTAATGCTGTGATTTGTTAACCAACATGGTCCATTTCCAACGTCCCCCTCATTTTCCCTTCGAATCACGTGACTCTATTAACCGTTGGGGTCTCTCTTTGGTCAGGGTGTGTGAAGCTTCCACATTGGCTTATTTTAGCACCACACCTGCTTTACTGCTACAAAAGGACATTCAATGAGGAACCAATCTCCTAGAAAGATCATTGACCGCAGCTGCTCACATGGAAAAGAAAATAAATCTTTGTAGCTTTTTATTTTTCCACTGACACTTAGGTCAAAGGTCGATCGCCGTCTTAGCTCATATTTATCCATTGAAGCCACTTATAAAGCAATTGTTTTGCATGACTTTCATCCCAGTATTGCTTAAATGTAGGCTTATTATGTAATATAATTTCCAAAGAGATCTATTTTTAGCGACATCCCATAAGAACAATGGAAAATGTTAGCTAAGAAGGCCAAGTGCCTGTCAGACTTGCCAAATTATAAATACACAATCTGCACTTTTCCATAAGACAGAGTAATAAAAATCAAATATTAAGGTGAAAGTGTTACCGTAAAGTGTTATCGTCTTGAGGTGTGGTAACTGCAGTATAAGCGGAATAATTGACCACGGGTCGATTGAATTATTAGAAAATAATGCTCCAGTCGCGTTGCCGCCTCGGGTGTGCATTATTTTCTAATAATTCAACGACCCGTCATCATCAATAAATGCTTACTTTCTTTACTTAAATGATTATTGAGAGAAATGATGAAATCTCCAGCTAAATGTGTTTTCTTTTTCAGACTTTGAAAACATAGATAAGCAGGACTCACATTTAAAAGCGTAGAGCGAGCTGATCATTTTTCATCTAACAAAAACAGTGATAATACAAATGTTACGTTTTTTTGTATATGTTTGACATTTTCTACTGCGTTTAGCTCCTTAACTACAACACGAGTGAACAGAAAATGTATTGGCTATTCTTGCGCATGTAACACATGCTGGATGGCCATTTTCTGCCCTTAAAAGCATCGTTCATGCAGAAATTAAAATGGTCATCATTTACTCACCATCATATCTTTCCAAACTCGTATGGATATCTCTCTTCTGCAGAACACCAAAGAAGGACATAAAGATAGTGTGAAATTAATCCATAATTCTTCTAAGGTGACACGATCGCGCTATTATCTTGCTAAAGCTGCTTTACTGAAGAGTCTGTCTCATCCATATTTGATGCATCATAATTCTGTTACTTTCCTGTTTATCATCGGGAAGCTGCTTTGAAACCATTTCTATTGCACACAATGCTATAAAAATATAAAAAATATCTTGACTTGGCATGATCATTTTGTATGACGAACAGATAATTTATCATTTGATCATCTGAGAGCTGTGTTGCCATATTTTATGTTGTTCTTTTGTGTTCAAATGAGTTGTAAAATGTATGACAGAATTTTCATTTTTGGGTAAATTATCACTTGTTATTAGGGACATATAGATGTATGAATAAGCTACGCTAGTGTACCTGTGTGTTGCTGGGCGTTCCGGTGGTTGCTAGGTGGTACCTATGTAGTTGGGTGGTTTCTAAGAGGTTGCTATGCAGTTGCTGGGTGTTCTGGTGATTGCTAGTTGGTTACTATGTAGTTGCTGGGTGTTCTGTGGGCTGTTGTTTTGAGGTTGCTATGCAGTTGTTAGGGGTTCTGAATGGTTGCTAGGTGGTTACTATGCACTTGTTTGGGTGTTCTGGTTGATTGCTATGGTGTTGCTGGGTGTTCTGGTGGTTGCTAGGTGGTTACTCTGCAGTTGCTGGTTGTTATGGGTGGTTGCTATGCAGTTGCTGGGTTTTCTGGTAGTTGCTGGGTGTTCTGGGGTGTTGCTAGGATGTTGCTATGCAGTTGGTGGGTGTTCTGAATGGTTGCTAGGTGGTTACTATGGTGTTGCTGGGTGTTCTTGTAGTTGCTAGGTGGTTACTCTGCAGTTGCTGGTTGTTATGGGTGGTTGCTATGCAGTTGCTAGGTGGTTACTCTGCAGTTGCTGGTTGTTATGGGTGGTTGCTATGAAGATGCTGGGTTTTCTGGTGGTTGTTAGGTGGTTACTATGTAGTTGCCGGGTGTTCTGGGGTGTTGCTAGGAGGTTGCTATGCAGTCGGTGGGTGTTCTGAATGGTTGCTAGGTGGTTACTATGCAGTTGCTTGGGTGTTCTGGGTGATTGCTATGGTGTTGCTGGGTGTTCTTGTAGTTGCTAGGTGGTTACTCTGCAGTTGCTGGTTGTTATGGGTGGTTGCTATGCAGTTGATGGGTTTTCTGGTGGTTGTTAGGTGGTTACTATGTAGTTGCTGGGTGTTCTGGGGTGTTGTTAGGAGGTTGCTATGCAGTTGGTGGGTTTTCTGAATGGTTGTTAGGTGGTTACTATGGTGTTGCTGGGTGTTCTTATAGTTGCTAGGTGGTTACTCTGCAGTTGCTGGTTGTTATGGGTGGTTGCTATGCAGTTGCTAGGTAGTTACTCTGCAGTTGCTGGTTGTTATGGGTGGTTGCTATGTAGTTGCTGGGTGTTCTGGGGTTTTGCTAGGAGGTTGCTATGCAGTTGCTGGGTGTTCTGAATGGTTGCTAGGTGGTTACTATGCAGTTGCTTGGGTGTTCTGGGTGATTGCTATGGTGTTGCTGGGTGGTCTGGTGGTTATTATGGGTGGTTGCTATGCAGTTGCTGTGTTTTCTGGTGGTTGTTAGGTGGATACTCTGTATTTTCTAGGGCGTTCTGGGTGATTGCTGTGTGTATGTTATTTGTGGTGACTTAATAACTGCTTCAGTGTCTGTGGTGGAAATGTCTGCCTGGCTGATGTTTGACCACCAGCACTAAACACTACCTAACTCATTTAAATCATCTTAATCATTATTAATGAGCCAGCAAAACACGGTGCAAGTAAGAATGCCTCTCTGCTGTGAGAAAGCATGGGCAAATGTTTAAGCTGTTCTGCACTATGGCTGAGCGCACATGTGACTCAGCTTTTGTCCCGGGATTGACTCGGCCCCATATGCATGAGCGCTCTGTGCCTTTTCCTCCTGCACTGGAAACCTCTGTTCTGCATTTTGCCCTCTCTGTCTCCATTCAGAGCAGGTGACTGTGTGTTTGAGCTTTGAAGCTAATGCACAGATGGTGCGTTCACCCCTTGGCCATGTGTGACATGAAATACTTCTTCAGTTGATGCATGAAAAGCCGGACAGGCTGTACCTACAGTACACAGAATGTATTTACACATTTAATACAAAAAGTGCAGGATTATAGAAGGTACGAATTTTAAACGAGACCGAAAGCATGGACAGAAAGTCTGAAGTAGATTTTATACTTTGAAATTCGAAGGACGGACAGACAGATTTTACTATTTACTATTTTACTATGTAATGAGTAGGGTGTTTGCTATGAGGTTGCTAAGCAGTTTTTTTGGGTGATGATCTGAGTGGTTACTCTGCAGTAGCTAGGGTGTTCTGGATGTTGCTAGGCTATTACTGGGTTTTCTGGAGGTTGCTAGTAGGCAGTTTGTCTGCAGTTGTTTTAGTGTTCTGTGTAGTTGCTAGGGTGTTGCTGGGTGGTTGGAGGTTGCTATGCACTTTCTGGGTGTTCTGGGTGATTCCCGGTGTGTCGCTTGGTGTTCTGGTGGTTGCTAGGTGGTTGCTAGGTGGTACCTATGTTGTTGCTAGGGTGGTATTGGTGGTTTCTATGCAGTTGCTGGGTATTCTGGGGTGTTGCTAGGAGGGTTGCTATGCAGTTACTGTGTCTTCCAATAGTTGCTTTGTGGTTACTATGCAGTTGTTTGGGTGTTGTGAATGACTGCTAGGGCTTTGGTTGGTGTTCTGGTGGTTACTCTGCCGTTGCTGTATGTCATGGGTAGTTGCTGGGTGGTTGTTAGGATGTTGCTATGCAGTTTCTGGGTGTTCTGAATGGTTTCTATGTGGTTACTATGCAATTGCTTGGGTGTTCTGGGTGATTCCCAGTGTGTTGCTAGGTGGTACCTATGCTGCTATGCAGTTGTTCGGTGTTGTGGATGTTGCTAGGGTATTGCTGGGTTTTCTGGTGATTGCTAGGCAGTTAGTCTGCAGTTGTTTGGGTGTCATGGGTAGTTGCTTGGTGGTTGTTAGGAGGTTGCTATGCAGTATCTGGGTGTTCTGAATGGTTTCTATGTGGTTGCTATGCAATTGCTTGGCTGTTCTGGGTGAATCCCAGTGTGTTGGTAGGTGGTACCTATGCAGTTGCTGGGTGTTCTGGTGATTGCTAGGAGGTTGCGGGTGTTCTTGTGATGGTCGCTAGGTGGTTACTATGTACTTGCTTGGTGTTCTGGATGATTGCAAGGTTTTGCTATGCAGTTGCTGCTGGGTATTCTGGGGTGTTGCTAGGAGGGTTGCTATGCAGTTACTGTGTCTTCCAAATAGTTTTCTGGTGGTTGCTGGGTGGTTTACTTTGCACTAGGGTGATTGCTTGCATAGTAGGCTGCAAGGCAGTTGCAGGGTGTTCTGGATGTTGCTAGGGTGTTGCTATGCAGTTGCTACAGTGTTCTAGAGTGTTGCTAAGGTAATCTGAGTGGTTTTAAATAGAATATTAGTATGTTGGCTTTCTAAACAACATACAGTATAATAAATACAATAATAAGAAAGCATAGATTAAAGACAAATAAACAAGCATGAGAATAAGTATTGAACTGCTATTATAAACTGAACGCTGTGTTAAAATTGTGTTAGTTTAAAGCACTGATATTTTAAGTAGCTTAAGTGTCCGTATACATTTATTGTGCTGCTGTAGATAATATGTAAATCACTTATATATGTTACATCATCATGCGCTTTTGTGCAGCTGGATATAAATATCCTCTGGTGGCTTATGTGTACCACAACTATCCGCTGTCTCACCTCCACTTGTCTTTGCATAACATCCATCTAGTGTCTGCTTGCCTTTGCATTTTTTCCATCACCTTATTTTGGTTTCATATTTCCATTTTTCCATTGAGTCAGATATGCACTGTCTTTCCATAACACACACTCAGTGCATGTACACAAACGGGTGATCAGTGTAATCTTTAAACAAGTAAGACTTGTGGGTTACCGTCTAACCATGCAGTCTTTACCATCAACACACTTACACACACAAACAAGACTGAGTTCGCCACAGTCAGCTTGGTTTTTTGTTGCTGTTTGGTGTAAATGGTTCCCACGGTCATTGAAAACCTGGAAATGTTGGGGAATTTTAAAACTGTGTTGGAATAATCAGTGTTAAAATTCATGGAAAGTTATTCAAAAGTCATAGTGATGTCTGATTTGTGAGTGAATCTTTGCGTCAGTTAAAAATGAATCAACTAAACCAGTTTACACAATGGATCAAAGGCAAATTGTTATGAATCAAATGTATGTGGTTGGTTGCTAGGGTGTTCTGAGTGGTTTCTAGGTGGTTAGTGGTCAGTTCACAGAGTTAATCTATCATAAGGAAAAAGGAATGTATCAAACTGATTAACCAGTCAAATAGGCATTTTTTTTAAATTTATTTGTAAGAAAATTGTAATTTTTTTTGATAAGTTGATCAACTTGGCCAATGGCCATAGTAGTGTAACATTTATTTTAAAACTTACACGGGTTCAACTAGGCTACTGTACTGTATATGTTTGATTTATGTTGAAGTGCTTGCGAGATTGTTTTTGTAATCAGGCTCTCAAAAATTTTATAAAAATTTGGATTTAGATTTATCGGCCAATATATCGGTTATCGGCTTTCAAATATAAAGAATTATCGGTTATTAGTATCGGGCAAATTTTTTATATCGGTGCATTCCTAATGGTAAGGTTACTACAGTTAACAATTTAACAAGTCTTTTATTCTGTAAAAGTTGATTTGAGAAAATAGAAAATTAGAAAAAGTCTGTGATATTGTTTGTGACAAAAAGTTCAAGGTTTGCTTGTTTGTAGAATTTGATGAAGTTTTGTGATTTATCTATTAATATGGCTTTAAAATAATAATTACGAGATAGAAATATAATTACTTTTTTAAAAAATAAATTACTAAAATAATATTACTATTGGGATTTTTTTACTGTAAAGTAAAAATATAATATTTAAGATTTGTTTTTGAAATAAAGTATTAAAATAATATATAACTAAAATTGCAATACAAACTTTAATTCATTCATTGTCAAATGTTAATCGCATAAAATTGCAAAAAAAAGCGCATTTTTAGTTCACAAGTGCTTTTTTTTGGTAATTAAATTATAAATAAATATTGTGATTTTGTTTTGTTTTTGTAGTGTGGGTTAAGAGTCTGATTAATGTGAAGTCTGGGCACTTTCTTCTTGTCTTTTTAGAGACAAAACAAGTTATCATGTTAGAATGATATAGAGATGTTGTGATGGAAAGGTGAGAGACGGTATTTGTTATACGATTGCCTACATGGAAACTGAAGGGAGAGAATGAGGATATTGGACTGAGTGATGTCATGAGTTTCCAGTTCCTCATTAGGATTAGTCAGCAACAAGGAATGAGAGACTGACAGGAGGAGCTGAAGGAGAGAGAGAGAGAGAGGCGGTGCTCAACAGTATCAGCTGGACTATAAGCAGCATTAGATAAACCCGCGAGTAAAGCCCTGACCTCGGAGCACTGCTAGAAACTTCTGCTGGCACGTGTGGCGGAGAGACTCTGAACGTCTTACGGTGGAAATCCCAACAGAGGCAGGCAGGTGATCATCCGTGGCGCTTCTTCGAATGTAATCCGCACATTCTTCTGAAACTGAGTCATGCATCTTAAAACTACAAAGTGCAACAACTTGTGCCTGGTGGCCACAGCGGTGGACCACGAGACGTTCAGTCGGCCACTGATCCGGGTGAGAGTCTGAAGCCCAGCTTTCGGACGTTTACGTTGCATTTCTCTTTCAGGTTCTGCTGCCAATTTTGCATTTGTTGCATTATGTTTTTGTTTTTTATATCTGGTCTCCCACAAGCTTACTTAACTGGTTTCTTTCGTCACTTAAACGTGTTAATCTGCTCCTGCAGTTCTTCTTTTCCCAGCTCTCCTGTTTGGTTTCGATAAACAAAGGGATTAGAGGCTTGAAGCTTGAAACTGTTTTGTTTACATATTTGATTTTTTTGAGGTTGGGCTTAGTGCAATTTGCATTAAATTAATGCATATGATGCAAAAGATTCTATTTCAATTAAAATCTTTTGAATTTAATTGTGATATTTATATTCCTAATTTAATATTAATCATGTAAAAACATATGTTTTCAACTTAATAATAATAATAATAAATGTTTCTTGAGCATCAAATCAGCAAATTAGAGTGATTTCTGAAGATTTCTGATCATACTAACAAATTACACTTTACTATTAGGGCTATCAAACAATTAATCACATCCAAAATAAAAGTTTTGTATATATAAATACACACACATTCTTGTATATATTTAATAAATATTGTCATGTATATACTGTATATAGATTTATATAATTTTTATTATATATAAATATAAATATTTTAGATATATATATATATATATATATATATATATATATATAATATTTTTTTCTTAAACATGCATGTGTGTGTATTTATATATATATATATATATAAAATAATTATACACAGTGCACCCACATCTATTATGTAAACACAAACTTTTATTTTGAATGCGATCAATCGTTTGACAGCCCTATTTATTATATTTACATAGAAAATGGCTATTTTGAGTTGTAATAATATTTCACAATTTGACTGTATTTTTTTTTAATCAAACAATTATATCCTTGGTGAGCAGAAGAGACTAAAATCTTCAAAAACAAAAACAAATTTTGAACATTAGCTGGACCTCATTCATAAAACTACAGCCGGGTGAATTTCTTCTAAATCATTTTGTGAGACCAATAAATAAACAGTCCTCGCATCGAATGTTTGCAGGTGTTTTGCACACATTATATAATCCAAAAAAAAGAGAAAAACATCCTGCAAGTGGCCGTAGCTAGCAGGAAAATCCAATATTTGGTGCGATGACAGAAACATGACTCATTTAATCTGGAAATGGAAATGTATTTCTTGTATGTTACAGTCAGTGATCGTCATTCTACTTGTTTTCATGATCGATGGCATGATTTGACACTTTATTCCCTCTCTTTTTGCATCATCAGGAGCAGTTCGAGGCTTTGTTCCGTGCGTTTGATCCAGACACGTCGTTCCAGTTCTTCAGGAGCTTCAGACGGGTTCGGATCAACTTCACCAATGCTTTAGCGGCAGCCGAGGCCCGAGTCAAACTCCACAAGAGTGACTTCAATGGAAAGGAGATGCGTCTGTACTTCGCTCAGGTAATAGAGTATTTCCATGGGTTTTATTACTGTTTTCAAGGGTTTTCTTAATTTTAGAGTAGTTGACCAGCACACATTATATGCAATGCAATATTAATCATGAATAAAAGACGGTGTTAAGCTTTGGACTTTCACTGTATATTGCAGTGAAATTTTTGGTTTGGGTCGAATTAGAAAACTAGAAATATGAAGATAGGCAAGTGTTTGTGTGTTACTTGCATTCTCATTCTCAAAAAAATAAATATAATCAAATAAAATAATTGCATTTGCAGAAAGCACAAACTTTAATGCTCAAATTACCCTAAAATACAAAATAAAAGCCTATTTAACGATATTAAAGATCCATCTCCAAATGCACAAACATACAATAACTAAAAGGTGTAATAAAATGTATATATGAAGAGTTCAGATGCAAAAGCCTCTAAGTGCCATTTGCAATTTTCTTCTAAAATGATCATTTTTATCAAGCTTGTATATTTAAGTTCAGTAATTTCACTTAAATGGCAATGAAGGTTACCTATTAATTGCCATTTAAGTGAAATTACTGAACTTAAATATACAAGCTTGATAAAAATGGTCATTTTAGAAGAAAATTTCAAATGGCATTTAGAGGCTTTTGCATCTGAACTCTTCATATATACTAAATGTTGGTTACTATTTACTAATAACACAGATCATGCTAATTATTAATTGTAAATAATATTATAATAATAATAATAATGGGTGAAAAATGTATTGCTTCCATTCAATAACAAGTGAGACTTCAATGGTATTTTCTGATCTGAAAAAATCTGTTCACCTTGTGCAAATAGGAGCGAAAGCATAGAAACGCCCTGCTGTGTATCTTTGTGTATCCTGTGGCTCACGCAGTAACACATGACCGTAGAAACACACAGGTCATGGGTTTATTCTCACGAAATGCATGATCTGATAAAATTCAATATAATTTGCTATGGAATAATGCAAATATTTTAGCTTTCTCCTTTTCCTCCTCTTGTTCTCTTATTTTTTTTAACTGCTGCCATCAGATAGATGTTAGAGAGCCATTACATCATCTCACACAACCAGATTTAAGAACAGGTTTCCCCTTATAGCTGTGAACGCTCTAAAACTTACAATGCAACCAATCATCCGCATATCTGCTAATGCATCCTTTTTGCATGCGTATTATAACACATAACAGTGAACATTATTCTTTATTAAAGTGCTGGTGCATTAATGTTGGTACTGTTTACCATCAGAATATACTGTTTTATCTGTTTACAGTCATGCACATATCTACAATACTGATTTTAACGTAATCGCACTTTACAACATCACTATACTGTGTTTGGACTACTGTTATTGTTTTATTCTACTAGTTATTTATCATTACTTATTGTTTCTATGTGTACTACTGTATGCATGCATACAATAACAATTAAAGGGTTCAAGCATTTAAGGCCTTCAAGCACATAAACATTAAAGACATTACGTTTTATTTAGCAAGCATTTAACCACTGACATCATAGATGGAAAAGACCATTTACAGCCAATACAGGCAATTCATCAAAGGACATATATGATTTTCAAAGCCTTTTGACAGTTTTAGCGCCACCTATGGTCTGATCTCCATTAAACTCCATGTCCTAGACTGGTTTGGTTCCGAATCAGGGACTAGTTCACAAAAGTAGGTTTTGGACAAAATTCGACAAATTTTTGCTGCCTAAATCGAAATTGGAGATATACGTTTTGTCCGTCTTGAGCCGCAGGTCTCAGAGTTATGAGCAATTTAGTAGGCTTTTGGTTGCTGTAGTGCCACCTATGGGCCAATCGGGGTCATACTCTGATTGGTTCTCCCCAAATCGAGGCCTACCATCTAGCCTGGTTTCAAGTATCCTGCACTTACGGTTTGGTTTACATGATGCGTTTTACAAATCCTTACAATTACAATAGGGTAATTTATTTATTTATTTATTTATCTCTTATTTATTTTACTGTACAGGATTATAAAGGCAATCGCAGTGATCATCAGAGAACAGCTCATTCAGCCCAATTGTTTAAGCATGTATTGTTTCGAAAAACGGCTATTTTTAACATGAAATGTTGCGCAATGCACCTTTAAGAAAAAGAAATAAACAGCAGGCTTGTATAGACGCACACAAAGAAAATAAAACAGGAATTGTTGTTCTTGCAGTCGGTGCACATCGGCAGCCCTCGCCTCGAGCCTCCGAAACCCGAGAAGCAGTTCCTGATCTCCCCGCCAGCGTCGCCCCCTGTCGGCTGGGCTCAATCACAGGACGCCATGCCCGTCCTCAACTACGACCTGCTGTGTGCTGTGTCTAAACTAGGACCAGGTATAACCTCATTTCCATGCTTTACTTTGAAACTGTGTACCTTTTGAGCCGTGCACTATATTTATCTACAACATGCGCGGCATATGCACTACCACTCAAGAAATTAAGACTTTTATTCAGCAAGGGAAAGTAAAGATATTTATAATGTTGCAAAAGATCCAATTTCAAATAAATGTGGTTCTATTCATCAGAATTAAAAAATACAATATAGTATTTAATAATCATAAATGTTTATTGAGCATCAAATTTTCATATTAGAGTGATTTCTGAAGGATCATGTGACGCTGAAGAGTAATGATGCTGAAAATTCAGCTTTGATCACAGGATATAAATTACATTTGACTATATATTCACATAGAAAACAGTGGTTTTACATTGGAATAATATTTCACAATTTTTAGTGTATGTTTGATCAAATAATGCACTGTCTTGGTGAGCAGAAGACTCTTCATGCAAAAACATGAAATCTACAATTTTGCTAGTCCACAATAACACTTAATGGAAGAATTTTTTTTTTTATAAATACAACCTATTATACCCTTTTAAAAGGTCTTGCTGTTGTTTTTGGTCTCTACGAGAACTCGAATGTTGATTATTTTCCTCATATTCCTCATTGTTGCGGCTCCTCTCTTCCCAGTCTGTCAGTAACGCTCTGAAAAGCACAAAGCGCTCTGATTGGTCGGCTGGAGAAGTGTGTTGTGATTGGTCGAGCGCTTTGAGTGTGTTTGGGAAAGTCCCGCCCCTTTCCATAACCGCCAGTTTAACACACTACTAACTAACTCAACCAGGCCCCGCCCCTTTATTCAGCGCATTAATTATTATAATGAGGAATATTGTGACGTGTTGGTTCCCGGATAAAACTCGAGACTACAATGGAGGCGTTTCAGGAGTTCAGAAACACTGAATGTGAAAAACAGGACACCGTTAACATGACACTTGTAATTGCAGGTGAGCAGTACGAGCTTCACACTGGAACCACCAACACACCCAGCGTCATCGTACACGTGTGTGAGGACGACAGCTCCGCGGACGAGGAGGAAACGGTAGAGACCGGCAAACGCGACCGACCCAAGATCATCCAGACCCGTCGCCCAGACTATGTGCCGTCCGTTAACCAGTGAGCGGCCCGCTTCATCTCCACGACCAACACAGGAATAACTAGGAAACATGCAGTCATGCAGTTTGTCATCCTTACCACCGGGGGCGGTGGCGAGCGTCAAATCCTCTTCCTAGTTAGCGAGGAAGTCGACCATCCTCATAATCTCGCGTTTCATTTCTTAACATCCATCTCTGATGGAGTCAGGGACCTGGGAGAGGTTCTCTCGTCTTACGAATGTCATTATTTGCTTGACGTCACAACTGTGTATTTTAACGAACCGAGAGAAAAGCGAGATGTGTAGCACAAACAAACGTGTGCGAGGTGTGTATCATCCGGGGCCACTAACATGTACTCGTCGCCATTATCACGTATCGTCTCTGCGTTTAGTCAGTTAAGCACTCGTACAGTCTTTGAAAAGTCATTATTATTGTTGCTGAAGTTCTTTGCGAGCTCCTCCAAGTATTATGCACTTTAAAAATAGAGCCTTATAATGTGGTAAACCGACAACAACATGAAGTACGTGTCTTTCTATACAGAGCGCAACTGTGAACGCATACTTTTTCCGCCTTGGTAAAGTGAGTATTTTTTTTTCTCATTCATTTTCTCCATCAATCTCACGATCTGATCTGAAGCCAAAAGGTATTTGAACGTTGGTTAAAAAAAAAAATTGTATTAATCGGTGCTCTTAAGTTCTGTTACGAGGGAATGAGCTACTCTACCCATGAATCAGTGTGAATGTACAGAGAAGGAAGAAAATATGAGGTTAGGGGAAAGATGCTTCTGCGTCATCTCACAAATGTTGCGTTCATAACACAAAATAACACAAAACGAATAAATAAAGTCTTCGAACGCAAAAAATATACATCTCATATTTTTTCCATCACAATGTTCCTTTAGGAACTTCGTATGAATGACATTAATGCATCAAAATGAATAAAATAAATAAATAATCCAGTCATTATTAATAATAAAAAAAATCTATTTATACATGCTTCCTGTGGTTTATAGTATTCATATTATTTTTACTTTATTCATACTTGCAGCCAATTATTTAAAGTGAAATAAAATATTGACTATAACTCAATGATTTATAGTCAATAAAAATAAAATATTGAATATAAATCATTGGCTGTATGCATAAATAAATTAAAAATAAAATAAAATATTGACTATAAATCATTGGCTGCATGCATAAATAAATTAAATAAAATATTGACAATAAATAATTGGCTGCATGCATAAATAAATTAAAAATAAAATATTGACTTTAAATCATTGGCTGCATGCATAAATAAATTAAAATCAAATATTGACAATAAATAATTGGCTGCATGCATAAATAAATTCAAAATAAAATATTGACTATAAATCATTGGCTGCATGCCTAAATAATTTAAATAAAATATTGACAATAAATAATTGGCTGCATGCATAAATAAATTAAAAATAAAATATTGACTTTAAATCATTGGCTGCATGCATGAATAAAATAAAATAAAATAAAATATTGACTATAAATAATTGGCTGCATGCATAAATAAAATAATAACAAAATATTGACATTAAAAAAGTAAAATAAAATATGAAATAGATCATTGCCTGCATGCATAAATACAATAGAATATTGACTATAATAATGAACAAAAAAAAGAAATATAAATCATTGGCTGTATAAATAAAATAAATGTTTTAGATGATAATTTAAATAAGTTGTTTTGAGTCATTTGCAGTGCATCATGGGAGTGGGCAGTTTTGTTATGATTCCCATTTCAATAATAACAGTGACTTCTCTAATTGGTGGATCTCTGTTCATCTAGTGCATCTAATAAATTGAACGATTTTTTTTTTTTAAGTATAACCACTGATTTGTGGTTTTCTAGAAGCATTTCTGATAAAACCCCCAGTGGAGAAAATGAATGTGATGTTTGTGTTGCGCTCTTCGACCCGCTCTGTTGTGCTCGACTGTCTTTGGAGATGTTGTCCTCTTTTCCATTACTGTAGGAGACGCTCTAATGTCATCCAGTGATTTTAAGCAACTATTACATACTGTGTATATTTGATGTGTTTGAATGTAGCCAATATCTATAAAAAATAAAATGTAAAAAAAAAGCTTCAGGATTTCTATCAACAACAATATCAAAACCGTATTCATTACATAGAAAGAATATGAAGGGAGGAGGCATTAACCTTTAATAAAACTATCTTGACCAAAGAACGGAATCTAATGTTTATTTCTGTCATACGAACCGATCTGTGACACCCACACACTCATACAGCAGCTGATAGATGTTTAGATGTGTGTAAAGTCTTGCATTTGTCATGTAGTCTTTTCAGTTTAGCGATAGATAGATAGATAGATAGATAGATAGATAGATAGATAGATAGATAGATAGATAGATAGATAGATAGATAGATATTTCTATTTTCTAATGGTACTTTAGAGTGAAATATCCAGATTTCTAGTTTTGCTCCTACATTTTGAATGTACATATATACGTTCTATAAGCAGAGATGTTTGTGTATATCCAGTTTTCAGACCTCAAGCATGTTTAACTGTGTTTCTTCTTCATTAAGTGTCATTTATAGAAGGTGTTTTTCCAGAAAGCAGTGAGTATATTAGTTAACAGGTCGATGTAACCTTGTCCTGCTCATATTTCTGTTGCAGCTCACAGTCAATTCAGTTCACAGCAGATCTTATGAGCGCCACCTGCTGGTTAGACTGAGATTTTATGAGCGCCTCCTGCTGGTTAGACTGAGATCTTATGAGCGCCACCTGCTGGTGAGACAGATCTTATGAGCGCCACCTGCTGGTATGACTGAGATCGTATGAGCGCCACCTGCTTGTGAGACAGATCTTTTTGAGCGCCACCTGCTGGTGAGACTGAGATCTTATGAACGCCTTCCGCTAGGGAGACTGAGATCTTATTAGCACCACCTGCTGGTGAGACCGAGGAATATATTTATGCTTACAGACAATTATCATGAGTTATTAGACTCAACATGCTGTATATTACACTGTTGACTTATGAGCGGTTTGCATTAACACATTTTTACTGTATTCTCAAATCCTGAGCTATTTAAACAACACACAGCAAGGATGGATATACATACAAAAACTTTATTTACAAAAGTCAGAGATAATAAATTAAAACATTCTATAAAAAAGACTCATGCAGCAGTCCATGTTGTGGAGTCCAACAGCAGGAACACCAGAAGACGTCACTCCTGCGACACAGAGACACTGTTAGAGAGACACGGGTTTACTGCGCTCACATTTGAGAATACTGTCGTTTATTCACCTGGTTATCTCAGTCGTCCTTCTTGTTATCAAGGAGCTCCTGTGTTTTCTGTGCGAGTTTCCTCTTCATCTCCATCTGCTCTTTCAGAGCAGCTTCTGCTTTCTTACTCTGATACATCTTCGCTCCAGCAAACAACAAACACAACAGCAGAGTCTTCGCCGCTAGGATGTAGAGGAGCAGAGGAACATTGTCCAAAGCCTGAGAACACACAGTTACACACACTGTCAGGACAAGAAATGTGATAGATAGATAGATAGATAGATAGATAGATAGATAGATAGACAGACAGACAGACAGACAGACAGATAGATAGATAGTTTGTTTCATACCATACACTTCACACATTGTATAGTTGCTAGAAGTTAATGTTATGACTATAAAATCATATTAACTCAATATGCAATTTCTTTAAAAAATAAAACAACATTACTCACACTATAACTAAATATATATATATATATATATATATATATATATATATATGTATGTATATTTGGGCTGTGCAAAAATTAATTGTGATTAATCGCATCCAAAATAAAAGTCTGTGTTTACATAATATATTTGTGTGTGCTGTATATAATTATTTTGTATATATAAATACACACACATGCATGTATATATTTAAGAAAATGTGTTATTGATATATAAAATATTTGTATTTATATAATATAGATTATGTATATATATATATATATATATATATATATATATATATATATATATATATATACAGAATTTAAGCGCAAATAATTATTAAATATATACATGCATGCATAGGCATATACAAAATAATTATATACTGCACACACAAATATATTATGTAAACACAGACTTTTATTTTGGATGTGATTAATCATAATTAATTTTTGCACAGCCCTAATATATATATATATATATATATATGAAGAGTTCAGATGCAAAAGCCTCTAAATGCCATTTGAAATTTTCTTTCAAAGAAAAGTTCAGTAATTTAAGTTCAGTAATTTCACTTAAATGGCAATGAAGATTACCTATGAATTGTCATTTAAAGGAACACTCCGACTTTTTGGGACTTTAGCCTATTCACCTTACCCCCCAGAGTTAGATAAGTCCATACATACCTTTTTCATCTCCGTGCGTGCTATAAGTCTGTTTGACGCACCCACCGCTAGCCTAGCTTAGCACAAAGACTGGATGTGAATGGTTGCAGCTTTCATACTAATCCAAATGAGTGACAAAATAACGCAAACGTTTTCCTATTTACATGTTGTGGTTTGTATAGTCACAGAGTGTGCAAATATCAAGGCCATATGAGACACAGACATCTTTTAACCGTATAAATACTATATTTTCTGAAGGCGAAGCACTGCTACTTGGGCAGAGTGATAACAATCACCTGAGACGCACCGTGACGAGGAGCAGAGAGTTCGCTTCGCTCAGTGTTGGAATAAAGAGTCAGCAATTACTAACGTTAGATAGAAAAGCATACGGGTGTTTGCTTTATTGTATGTGACAATAAACAGGGGAGACCAGGTAATACAGTACCATGTTTCATTGATTTCCAACCAAAAACGCACCCAGATTTATAAATATCACATGAATAAATAATTATTATTACAGGAATCAATATATTTTAAATGCAATTTATTAGCTGAACCAAATGTATTCAACATTAGCCTATATAATACAGTATTGCATTACTATAGGATAGAATAAGGGGAAAGTAATAGCACAAATTGTTTTTGCACAATGAACTCACAGCCGATCGTACCCTTTTGCACGCTCAAGTTCGTTATTTCCATGGTTATTTCAAATTTAGGCTACTAGGCGCGCCGCGCGCAGGGTGCAAGTTCAACGCGGTGAACGCGCTCGTTTTTTTTCCATGCGCGTCCGCACCGCATCAAGATAAAAACATATTCATACCCTAATCATATAATAGTGTCACTAACATTATAGATCTGGCTAAAGGCACTGTTACAGTAGGTCATCTAAAAACATAACGGAACACTTACCTCAGCCGCAGGTGATCCACTTGTCCTGTCTGTGCTATCGATGGGATGGCCGTATCCTTCAGCACATTATGGTCCGTGTGGCAAATTCCATTTTTTCAAAATAGTCGTCCATTGAAATGTACCGAGCAAACATAATGTCCCTTGATAATCTATTTAGGTGTGTTTGGATCAATATCCAGAGTAATTTAGCCATTTCTTCATCCAGTCAGCGTTTTTAGTTGGAATTCTGTGAAACATGGTATTACCTCCCCTGTTTACAGTCGCAGCTATTTACAATAGAGCGAAAACCCATGACTCTAAACTACGCTTTTACTATTTATAAATTGCTGACTCTGTTACCCAAACACTTAGCGAACTCTCCGCTCCTCACCACGGCGTGTCTCAGGTGATGCGGTTATTACGCCGTCAAAGTAGCAGTGCTTCGCCTTCAGAGAATAGTTCCCAGGTTTTATACGGTTAAAAATGTCTGTGTCTCATTTGACTTTGTTATTTGTACATTCTGTGACTATACAAATCACAACATGTAAATAGGAAAACAATTGCGTTATTTTGTCACTCATTTGGATTACTATGAAAGTGCAACCATTCACATCCAGTCTTTGTGCTAAGCTAGGCTAGCGGTGGGTGCGTCAAACAGACTTATAGCACGCACGGAGATGAAAAAGGTATGTATGGACTTATCTAACTCTGGGGGGTAAGGTGAATAGGCTAAAGTCCCAAAAAGTCGGAGTGTTCCTTTAAGTGAAATTACTGAATTTAAATATACAAGCTTGATAAAAATGATTATTCTAGAAGAGAATTTCAAATGGCACTTAGAGGCTTTTGCATCTGAACTCTTCATATATATATATACACACACATAGTTATATATAAAAGTTTGCTGACAGTAGTAAATGTTACTAAAATGATATAAAAAAAAAATTTGGACAAAAAACAAATTTTTAGCTGTAAATCAAATTCCTTTGTTGACTTACTTGTGTTTACTTATTATGAAATAATTTCTATGAAATGAACAGAGGTTTAATTTTGTATGTTCATAAGAATTAAAAAATATTGTTGATCAATTTCCTCAATGATCCTCAATAATAATGTTTCCATTCGTCCTATATAAAGACGAAGGTTTTGCAATACTATGATTACGATGGTAAATTTTGGACAACAGGAACTATTTTAATAGGCCTATATAAAGCATTGTGTGACGTCCAGCCCAGGTCAGTTCAGTGGGTTACAGAAGGTTACAGAAGTGTCTGGTGTTTCTGCATGACAAGAGCAGCTGCTTACACACATTACTAGAGGATCATTTAGTGCCCAGAGCAAAAGCACTGGAGCTTTAAGACACGCATCATCATTCTGGAACACAATATCAGCTTTCTGGATGCGCACTGTGGCAATGACATGCCTAAAGACACACGGACCATGGCATTCTATATACATACACACACTATATATACGTGTTTATAGAAACACATACTATACACACTATATATATATATATATACATATACACACACACACACACACACACTATATACTATGGTGTGTGTATATGTATGTATATAGAAGCAGACACACACACATATATATATATATATATATATATATATACACACACACACACACACACACACACACACACACACACTATACATACAAACTACGCATACACATATACACATATATATATATATATATATATATATATATATATATGAAGAGTTCAGATGCAAAAGCCTCTAAGTGCCATTTAAAATTTTCTTCTAGAATGATCATTTTTATCAAGCTTGTATATTTAAGTTCAGTGATTTCACTTAAATTGCAATGATAATTACCTATTAATAGTTATTTAAGAGAAATTACTGAACTTAAATATACAAGTTTGATAAAAATCATCATTAAAGAAGAAAATTTCAAATGGCATTTAGAGGCTTTTGCATCTGAACTCTTCATATATATAATATAGGCTACACACACGTATGTGTATCATTCTCATTTTATATAATAAGATATTATGGTAATATAGTTTATGCTTAAAAACATACCACAGTACACACTCACACACTGGTAGCCTACTGTAGGCTAAGTGTTTACTTTATTAGTGACGAGGTAGTGTCAACTAGAAAAAGTTGGCATAATATTAGTTTTAATGGGCTATATATGATAATAAGTGCATGCGTCTTACCCGCCAGTTGATCATGATGAGTTATTGTGCAGAATGAAGGTAAACGCTGAACTGATCTCGAGCTGCTTCTGCAATCTTCACATGGGACAGAGAAATGACCTCTGGAGGCGTGGCGAGATCACTCGAGCCGAATTAATGCGAGGAAAAGAAACTAGCATGAAACCGGTTTCTGGAGAAGGCGGAGCTTAACGACCTAGCGTGTGTTTGTGTGTGTGATTCAACTATCGGCTCAAAGTATTGACAGGTACATTCTTTGATAACAATTCCTACAAAATCATGTTACAATTTATGCTTTTTCAACTACGTTATAATGACCTTTAATGTCTGTATTAGCTTATGTAGGCTACTAGCATAACATATCCGATTAGCCTGAGTGATAGCTTAAACACATTTGAACTTACCCTATATGTATTCACTACCATTTTTAGTGTAATTACGTGTTAATGTAAGTGCTAAATGTCCAAATATATATATAAAAAGAATTTAATGATGTTCAAATTCTCACTTAGACGACTATTGTGCTATAAAGTTGATGCTGAAGTAACATTTGTCACGTGATATATGGTACTTTTCTCAGCGCTGTAACCTTAATTTGCCTTAATAATTTATATTAATATTGTGATTTTTTAAATTGTAAATAGCCTACGATATTTTTTTTAAAAATTAGTTAATTATTATGTTTGTAATAATGTAGGCTACTTGGTTCAAATAATCAAAAATACGTCCTGAGATTTCAATGCAGCTCAGTGGTTTTGTGCCATACAGCGCCCCCTAGAAGAATAACTTTGTTTCATAAGCAATAAATATTAGCCAACAATATTTTCCCTCCAATGGTCGCATTTCTCCACATGACCAATCCCGCAACGCATCCAGGTCACGCAAGAACTCTCCTTTAAAGGCGCAGACAGACCTGTTCTAGAAGCTGATGAACATTAGAGATTATGTTTCATTAAAAGTATATATTAATAAATGTATAATTAAATATAATAATTAACCTATATGTCAATACTTATGTTTCCTTGATCTTTATGTGCAATAGCTAGCCTATATGAAATAACATTAGCGTATATTATATTATATTATATTAATGCACACTGCATTTTTGGAAAACATTCTGTATTAATGCAATTTTTGTATGTTTTTATTAAATGCAAAGTACCCTTTAGAGGGCGCAACAACATTAAAGTTGACTGTGAAAGGGCTTTTTGTGAGTAGATAATGTCTGTGGAGCTTGCTCTCGCTCTCTCAATATCTGTCATGTTTCTGTTCATACACAGAAATATGGGTTGTATTAATTACACGGTTAGTGTGACCTTTCACGTTTCTGAATTTCCATGATGTCAACAGTGCTTGGAAAAAGGATTTTGGACATGCAAATGTTGGTTTTCCGTTTACCAACACCAGGCCTTTGATTCTACACTGGTTTGGATTTAGTCCGGCCATGTGTTGAACGATATCATCAGTTATTGTCTTTGTGTCGACTGAAGCCAGAAACACCCACAAATCTCCACGGGTCTGAAATGTCACGTTCACAATGTGAACACAAATGCACAAACTGTAAAACCTCCACCCCCTTAAACTGTGTCATGATGAAGAGCGTCCACCTACTCTGGTTTAATGCAGTCCTCCTCCAGTCCTCATGTCTCAAAACAATAGATCTTCTTTGAGGTGGAGCGGTGCGTGTGGCAAAGAGGAACAAGCGTTACATTTATTCAGGGTTTGACTTGCAAATGAATCACAGCAGTGTTTGATGGCGAATGTGTTTAAATGATCATAGTTTGTGTGCTTTTGTCTGCAGTGTTATGAGGAAACCCAAGGAAGAGCAGAGTGAAGTCCTATAGGTGGCACTGCAGCTTTATAGATATTTGGGAAATGTTGAGAATAGGCCACACGTATTAAATATAGGCTGTCATTTGTATGTGAATTTGAGTCAGTTGTTTAGATAGTGAATGCATTTGCACACGTAGATGCTCAGCTGGAAACATTGGTCACTTTAGCCCAGACAAACACTCCAATGTTTCAAAATGTAAATTCCTTTACCCAATGGATACAGATAGTGGAATTACTGGCAAAACAAATATCTCTCATTCTGCTAAACTGCACAGTGTAAATTAAAGCGTATCTAATTGGATCCCCCCCCCCCCCCCCCCAATATATAATGATTAGCTGATTTTGAAGTGTGTATATACAGTATATATATAAAACTTTATGAGGTCCCAGACCAAAAAAGTAGACTCTAATAATGCATGGCCAACGCATTGCATGCATGCAGTCCTCCTGTTGTGCAAACTGCATTAATGTGTAAATTAAAAGTGTACATTTTTAATTTACACAGTGTAAATTACAATGTAAATTAAAGCATATCTTAATTGGACATTTTAGCACCTAAAATGTACATATTAACACCAAAAATGTTCTTATTAGCACCTAAAATGTACATATTAACACCTAAAATGTACATATTAGTACCTAAAATGTACTTAACACCTAAAATGTACACATTACCACCTAAAATGGACATATTAGCTCATGAAATTAACATATTAGCTCCTAAAATGTACATATTAACACTTAAAATGTACATGACCTAAAATGGACATATTAGCTCCTGATATGGACATATTAGCACCTAAAATGTACATATTAACACTTAAAATGTACATGACCTAAAAAGGACATATTAGCACCTAAAATGTACATATTAACACTTAAAATGTACATATTAGCACCCAAAATGTACTTATTAGCACCTAAAATGTACATATTAACACCAAAAATGTTCTTATTAGCACCTAAAATGTACATATTAACACCTAAAATGTACGTATTAGTACCTAAAATGTACTTAACACCTAAAATGTACACATTACCACCTAAAATGGACATATTAGCTCCTGAAATGGACATATTAGCCCCTAAAATGTACATATTAACACTTAAAATGTACATATTAGCACCCAAAATGTACTTATTAGCACCTAAAATGTACATATTAACACCAAAAATGTTCTTATTAGCACCTAAAATGTACATATTAGTACCTAAAATGTACTTAACACCTAAAATGTACACATTACCACCTAAAATGGACATATTAGCTCATGAAATGAACATATTAGCACCTAAAATGTACATATTAACACCAAAAATGTATTAGCACCTACATTTTACATATTACTTAAAATGTACATATTAACACCAAAAATGGACAAAAGTTTACTTTTTGAAAAGGTACAGCCCCAGTGACAGCTTACCTTTTTTTTCTGAGAGTGTAGGTTAAAATCATTAAAACTCCAGTTGAGTTGCACAGAGTTGTTTGAGTTTACACACACATGTTTTAGGCCTAAAAACCGCAGATCAGTTCTGAAGATCAGTGAGCAGAGATTAACTTCCAAAGAAGGCTGTAAAAGGATTATAAAGTCACATGAAGGTTATAAAGCACTTTATATACTGTATGTTGAAGCAGATTTAAGGTGATAAACAGGAAAATCATTTCTATTACATTAACTCTGTTCTAAATGAAAGTCCTTCCTGGTTCTGTGCAATCTCCCCAGACAGATTTGACGAGTAAGTGGCTGAAATGAGTTGTCCAGACATTAACAGATGGGGATGAAGGGAAAAACCAACATGAAGTCACACAGAGAGTGTCATGGAAGCCGTGTGACAAACCCTCAATCCGTTTGGGAGAAAATCAGAGTAAAGTTGTCCAGTGAGGGAATGGCAATATTTCTCAGTAAAATGTATGATTTCATGATTTCAGTCTAAAAATAATGCATACATGTTTTGCTCACTTTGAGAACATTATTAATGACCAAATTAACATTTGTTTAATGTTACTGGAAGAACGTTTGTTCATAACCAATTGCCAGAACATTCCCTGTTCGCTTTCTGACCCAAAAACACACTTGCATCCTTTTGAAAACTGAAGCACATTTGCTGTGCAACTTAGCAACCAGCATTCAATCCCCAGTTTAATGAAAGTTAGAGATCATCAATCTGCATTGAGATGATGATCGATGAGAGCTCAGCAGCTCGAGTCATAAAGTGAAGCGCTAATGTGAATATCAGTAGGAGTGTGTGTGTGTGTGTGTGTGGGAGGAAGCGCTTATCAGTCCATCTGAACAAACATACAGCGGATAAGATAAGGTGTGTGGAGAATGTCTTGCGTTCTCCGTTCGTGACCTTGCTCTCCTCCTTCACTCCACAGGCACCTGCGAGCGCTCGGCATGCTGGGTAAAATAACACTGGATTCCGGGAAACGGGGGCCTATTTGGAGTCTTTGCAAAACAACATCTGCCAGTTTGCGCAGCTGAGCTGTGTTTGTTTTGTCAGGGTGAGCAATGGGAGATTGGAGGTCTTCATTTTTGACAGGTTCAAACCCAATAATGTTCTCATAGCAAACTGGACATTCACGTTCAAGGGTTCATTCATCTTAGGGTGGTTCTTAAAGGGATACTCCACTTTTTTTGGAAATAGGCTCATTTTACAACTCCCCGAGAGTTAAACAGTTGAGTTTTACCGTTTTCAGCCGCAGCATTCAGTCAATTTCCTGATATTTAGAAGAATATCAGTAACCAGACAGTATCTGGTCTCATTGACTTCCATAGCAGGAAAAAATATATACTATGGAAGTCAAGTCATCGTTTTACAAGTCGAGTTGTAAAATGAGCCTATTTGCAATAAAAGTGGAGTATCCCTTTGAAGTTATCCCTCTGATGCTCTTCACATGCAATCCGGAAAAAAAAAAATTCAATGAAATTAACGTATATTTTAGTTCGATATTGTTTTTTATTTAATATTTTGTATTTTTATGGGATTTTATGGTGCTAAATTATATTTACGCTGTATTTATAACCTTTTTTTTTTTTCACTTTTTGAGCGTAGACCTGAAAATTAAAATTCCAAGTTGTGGTAAATCTTGACTGCTTTAAAGCGCAGACTGAAGTTTGATCTCTTCTTGAAGACGACACTTCACTCTAAAAAAAAATGCTGGGTTGTTTTAACCCATCTTTGGGTCAAATATGGACAAACTCACCCATTGGGTTAAATGTTTAAATTACATTTTTAACCCAACATTTGGGTTTGTCCATATTTGACCCAAATTTGGGTTAAAACAACCCAGCATTTTTTAGAGTGTTTAAAAAAAGTTTTAAAAGCTTTAAAAAAGTTACAAACTTTGACGTTTTGTTATGAAAAATGTGCAAAAATACTATTTTCAATTTTTGTGTGAAATCTAAATTTTCAAAAACATGTTTTTCTCTAAAACCGTTTGAAAATCAAAGCCATCGCAGCACATGCATTGACGGCTAATGATGACGGCTCAAGATATGAGATAAATATTGATTGTCAATACCAGAAGTGATATTTTATATAAGTCAGAACTGTTGAAGTGATGTAATGTGTGTGTGATGGATGAAGTTCACTAGTTTTTGAAGCTACAGGTAGTTTAATGGACCATAATGCAAAAAAAAGCAACTATATAAATGTAAATGTGATTTTCGATCGGCCCTCATGATCAAAGCTAGCCTCAGTGTACACATGTGTGCTGTTTTATGCTTGATGATGAGAAAAGGCCTCTTTATTCTTTGCGTGATGTGTATGGTGATGTTATAAAGCTTTCAGCTATGAACTGAAACCAGAAGTGCTCCAACATTTCACCTGAAGCCTTTGAAGTGAGCTTTATAATGTAGTCAAAACTGATGCATGGCAGGTCCCTGAATGATGCTTTTGATATACATTTATTTTGCCCATGGGATGCATTTGTTTCTCAGATGTATTGGTGCAAAATAGGCCATTTTTGTGTGGACAACATGGAGATGTTCTGAAATTTCAGAAAGCATGTAATACGATTACATCACACTTTTGAAATTCCGTGCACTGCAAAAAGATTTTATTTTCTTAAACGGTATTTGTGTTTTGTTTTCCCAATACAAATATCAAAACATTCTGACATCAAGATATAATTTCTTGAGACGCAATATGACTTAAAATATCATTTAAAACACATTGAAAAATGTTTAAAATAAGTGAGTTTGTGCTTGAAATAAAAAATCTGCCAATGAGGTGAGATGAATTAAAACTTAATTCAAAGGGAAAACAGGAGTTTCATCAAAAACTCACTTAATGTGGGTAAATTTACTTATCTCCTGAATATCTTACCATCTCAAGTAAATGTAACACTGTCAAAAAAATATGATTAATAAGTCATGTTTTTACTTATCAAACTCAAAACAAGTTAAGCAATTTTTAAAAAAAAAAGTTGTTTCACAAGATTCAACTTGTTTTAAGTTAGTCCAATATAATTTCTAATCCTATTATTAACATTTTTAAATGTTGATATTGTTTACGATCTTGATTTAGGTATTTGAGTAAGACAATATTTTATATATATATATATATATATAAAGTTTAGAATGATCAACATTTACTCATGTTAGTCTTCTAATGCTCTTGAAAATCTTTCAAGACTTCAGCCTGTTGTTGTCTGAGTCTTTAAGGAACCTCATCCACTTCTTCAGCATTATTTAATGGTTGGTTGAGTTGTATGATGAACACATGTGGAGCACGGAGGGGCTGTGATCCCCCTGATGATGATCAGTGTGTTCTGACCCGCACCTGTGCTCTGTTGGGATTGGGAAGGGTTAGTGTGAGGAATTCCACTCAACCGAAATGGGTCACAGAGATGCAGACGCGTACGACACACACATCCCAAAATAAGTGCTTTCAACAGAGCAGGTGCATATTCGCATATCCGAGTTAAAATTAAGTATGTTCAATTTGATTTAATAGGCAGTGTTTAGATATTAAAACTAAATAAGTTGAATTAAATTTTAGTATGTTAAATTTAATGTTATAAAATACAAATTCTTAAATTTGATTACAATAAATATATCAAAATGAAATATTAACTAATGCATCGGATATCAGGAACTGAGCAAAATACGCCAATGCATTTTTACATCTTTTATTAAAATATGTTAAGTTCCTCTTGAATAAAAGTCCCAACCTGTGTGTGTGTGTGTGTGTGTGTGTGTGTGTGTGTGCGCGCGTGTTAAATATCCGAGTGCACTTAAAATACATCATGTTATGGAGCAGTGCATTGTGTTGTGAATATCATTTGTCAAATGCTTCTCATCACTTTTGTACCCTCTCATGCTCATAGATCCACTCTATAACACTCTCCTGCTGTTCAACACACACCAGGACATTATAGTCTGATCCATCAATATCTATCCTTCCACATTCACACTCCACACACATCTAGATTGAAGAACAGCACGCTTTTAATGATCAGCCTTCAGCTCGCAGACATCCAGCACCAATAGAGAGAGAGAGAAAGAGAGAGAGAGTACATGCAGGTGCTAACACAAACACAGGTGATCTATTACAGTGGCTTTAACTATAGCGGGTCACAAACTTGAAAGCAGGTCACAGGTCTGTTGTTGTGCTGTGGTAAAGCTATGATGTTATGTCTGAATGTTTTCTGAACGTTCAGCTATCCAGTTTAAAAGAAAAAAGTTTTAGAAAAGTTTGTTTTTCTTGGGTATGCAAATGTTAAGGAAACATTCCATTTTGGAATCTTTATGAGAACGTTACTTTTCCATGAACATTCTAAAACAAGTAGGAACGTTCTATTAATGTTACTTTGAGGAACCTTGTTCTGTTAGCTGGTAATTGTCAGTGTTATGTTATTGTTTGTTCAGTTTCCATGGTTACCGTCATTATTAGTTCATTGGTTTCAGCTGTGTGTCATTCATTAGTTGGTTATTTGCCTCATCCTTTCCTTCACTGGTTGTCCAGTTTGTGTTATGTTGAGATGTGTTTGCAGTTTGCTGGTTTTTGAGTAAGAATTAAAGCTTCAGCTTCTCTGCATGTATCGTTACAGTAATAGAATCGTCTGTTTTTATCGGGTTTATTCTGATCAGCTAATGTCATACATCTGAGCTGTGAAGCCGTGAGGCCGTACACGTACCAGAAAAGGTTCAATATAGAACCTTAAAAGGTTCTATTAGCGCTACGTATTTAGAACCCCTAAAAGGTTCTATACACTCTTTAATCGTTTGAATGTTCCTTGTACAATACACTCTTAGAAGAAATGGTTCTATTTAGAACCAGAAATGGTTCCATCCCCCGCTTCATATATGGAACTCCAAAATGGTTCTATATAGAACCATTTTTTTTGGTAAAAGGTTCTATTGGCCAAGTACTTGGCCAATAGAACCTTTTACCAAAAAAATGGTTCTATATATGGTTCTACTCCAAAATGGTTCTATATAGAACCATTTTTTTGGTAAAAGGTTCTATTGGCCAAGTTGAAAGGTTCTATTGGCCAAGTATATAGAACCATTTTGGCGTTCCATATATGAAGCGGGGGATGGAACCATTTCTGGTTCTAAATAGAACCATTTCTTCTAAGAGTGTATTGTACAAGGAACATTCGAATGATTAAAAACGTCATTAACAGAATCACGCTTTTTCTTGAGGCTACAAGTGCCCAATTACCGTTGTGGAGTAGATGTTAATTAGAGTTATGCCAGGCAAATTCTGTTTAAAAGATGAATCTGTGTAGAATGGCGTTCCAGTGAAACAGATGTTCTTTATGACGCAGTCGTCTTCAACATCTGATATTCAGGCCATGTTCTGTGTAAGTGGGAACGTTATATAAATCATATAGCATCGTCTGAATCAGAAATCACTGTGACAGATGATTTAATAATGCAAAATGACGAATACAAGGATTTAAGGTTACAAAAACAATGAAAATGTATAAACACATGATAATATCATGCAACACAGCAGAGAACTTTACTTCCACAAGTGACCTATTTCACATGGCAGGCAAAAGATATTAGAAAATAAATGCCTTGAATGCACACTGTAAAAATGAATAAATGAATAAAGATTACAAGCAATATTTAATTAATTAAATTGAACAAATTAGAATTGAGTAATAATTAATCAAATTATTCCTTAATAGTTAACCAAGTTTACACCAAAAAATTAAACAAAAATATCTGAATAACAGACAGACGTCAAAGATTAAATAAGAACTCTTTATTTTATATTGCAAACACTGAAGATACCTGATGTTAACAAGCAGAATCACTGAAGGAGAAAATAAAACAAACACCGATCACCATAATGGCGACTTAAATGTAAGTTTTACATGGTTTACTTTTAAAGAATTAATTATTACTCAATTCTAATTTGTTAAATTGAATCTGTTGCCCCATTTTTATTAGATAAAGCTCATTCATTTTTACAGTGCAATGCAAGTCGCTTTTTTTTAATAATGCATGCCAAATGCATAAATGTAAATATGACAGGTTATTG